ACTTTAAATTTACTAACAGGTGTATTATTTATCTCTGTTTTGTTTAGCTATCTTGCTGTAATTTCCTCATTTTGTCTAACTCTCTGTGTCTATTTCTATGTTTTAGGAAAGTCAGCTATGTCTCTTATTCTTGAAATTAGTGGCCTTATGAAGAAGTGGTCCTGTGGACTTCTTTTGTGCCATGCCCTTGTTCACCAGAACCTGGCCTTTCAGGGGTGTCTCGTTTGTGTGTTGTGTATACACTGCTATTACGGCTGAGCCACATTTGCCTTCAGTCCAGTCATCTGCAGTGGCTCTCCTTGCCTGTTGTGGGCACAGTTTGATTCCTGTGTTGTTAATGGGCTGGTCTCAGTCCACCCTGGGCTTGATTTGTGTCAGACCAGGCTTTTGCCAAAGCTGGAGTAGCACCAAACTTCAGGGTGTTCTTCATGTGTTTTCCCATAAGAAGCTTTCATTGGTGAGCAAGGACTGCAGTCAGACAGATACCTACCCCCAATCCACTGCCAGGGTCACAGTCAGGCTAGTGTGTGTGGTTATCTTTCCCTCTCTCCAGGGAAGAAGTCAGTTTGGAGCAGTGTTGGCCCCTGTCAGTCCTGCTTGCACACTGTCAGGCTAGTGGCACTGCTTTGAATGGACTCCTGCAAAGGATATTTTGGGGGGATAGACCTGTGGGAGAATGGAGGGATGGGGTGCACTGCCTAGCCTGGGATAGAGGGGGAGCATCTGCAGGAGAATGCAGGTTGGGGTGCACTATTTTTAAACTAGGCAGAGGGTGTTTGCTCTGTGCTGGTTCCTGCAGGTGTCTGTGTATCTAGATTGGCCTGGGGTGGGGGGTAGGGAGGGGTTTGAAGAGGAAAATGGTGCCCACCAATTTTTTGTTCTTGTAGAATCTTACAAAGATCCCTACCCCTCCAGCACCTGCTCTGAGATTAGTAAATAAATCTTCCTGTATACCCCAGTTTTTTTTTCCAAACTGTGTTTCTATGCTGTATCTCAGTGGGATTGTTTGTTGTGCTGCCTCTTTAAGTGTGGGGACTCAGTTTCCTATTGCCCTCCACCTCTCCCAGAGCTGAGCTACCTGGTTTTTAAAGTTCAAGGTGTTACACTCCACTGATTATAAGAACTTGTGAAATTAGGCCCCTCTGGATTTCAAAGCCCAATAGGGATTCATATTCTCAGTGTAGCTCCGACATGCCTGGGGTGCCTGGGGTGAGGTATGTTCCTCTCCCCTCTCTGTGCCAATGGCATCCTTCCTTCCTTTAGACAGTCCTGTGAGTCAGTTTGGTTCCTGACCATGTCTCCACCCTTGCTACCCTCTTCAATATGGCCTCTTCTTTTATATTTAACTGTGTAGAGTCTGTTCTGGTAGGTTTTGGGTCATTTTCTAAGTTATTTACAGTGATGTGTGTGTTATCTAGGTGTACCTGTGGGACAAGGTGAGCCTAGGATCCTCTTCTTCTGCCATCTTTCCTGAAAGCCTGAATTTTTTTTTTAAGACATAATTGACAAACATGTAGCTAGACTAGGAAAAAAAGTAGATTCAAATAAGACCAGAAACAAAAGAAGAAAAATTACAACTGATGCTACAGTGAAGGGGTTGGGGGGGCGGTCATAAAAGACCACTATGTACCTACCATCATACTTAATGATGAAAGACTGAATGTGTTTTCTCTTAAATCAGAACCAAGGCAAGCATGCCCACTCTCACCACTTCTCAGCAACAAAGAAGTCCTAGCCAGAACAATTAAGCACGAAAAGGAAATAAAACACATCCACATTGGAAAGGAAGAAGTAAAATCATCTGTATTTGCAGATGACTTGATCTTATATATAGAAAACTCTAAAGACTCCACAAAAAGTTGTTAGAATCAATAAAGAAAATCAGCAAATTTGTAACATACAAAATTAACATACAAAAATCAGAGGCATTTTTGTACACTAACAATGGACTATCCAAAAAGGAAATTGGAAAGACAACCTCATTTAAAATACCATCAATAACAATAAAATAGGAATGAACTTAATCAAGGAGGTGAAGACTTGTGCATTAAAAACTGTAAAACATTTCTGAAAGAAATTAAAGAAGATACAAATTAGTGAAGACATCCTGTGTTCCTAGATTAGAAGACTTAATATTGTTAAAATGTCCATGATACCCAAAGTCATCTACAGATTCAGTGCAATATTGATCAAAACCCTACTGGCATTTTTTTTAAAGATTTATTTATTTATTTGACAGAGATCACATGTAGGAAGAGAGGCAGGCAGAGAGAGGAGGAAGCAGGCTTTGCCGAGCAGAGAGCCCCATGCGGATCTTGATCCCAGGACCCTGGGATCATGACCCAAGCCGAAGGCAGAGGCTTTAACCCACTGAGCCACCCAGGCGCCCCCCTATTGGCATTTTTTAGAGTAATAGAAAAAGAAAAAATTCTAATATTCACATGGAACTGCAAAGGATCCTGAATAGCCAGAGCAATCTTGAGAAAGAAACACAAAGCTGGAGGTAGTACACTTTTTTATTTCAAAATGTATTACAAAGCTATAGTAGATTAAAGAGTATGGTAGTGGCCTAAGGACAGTGGAACAGAATATAGTGCCCAGAAATAAACCCATGCATAAATGGCCAGCTGATCTGTAAATAAAGCTACCAAGAATACACAATGGAGAAAGGATAGTCTTTTCAACAAATGATGTTGGGAAAGTTAGTCATGTGCAAAAGAATGAAGTTGAACCCTTGCTATATACCATATACAAAAATCCACTCAAAATGGATTAAAGACTTAAATATAAGACCTAAAACTGTAAAACTCCTAGAGAAAAACTCGGGGGAAGATCTTTATGACATTGGGCTTGCCTATGATATCAAAAGCACAAACAACAAAAGAAAAGTTAAATAAGTGGGTCTACATCAGACTTAAACGTTTCTGAACAGCAAAGCAATTAACAGAGGAAAGATATATTATGGAATGAAAGAAAATATTTGCAAACCATATATCCAATAAGGGGTTAATATTAAAAATACATGAAAAATTATAACAACTCAGTAACAAAAACCCAATTTAAAAATAACAAAGGACTTGAATAGACATTTTTCCAAAGAAGACATAGAGTTGACCAACAAGTATATGAAAAGATGCTCAACATCATTCATCATCAAGGAAATGCAAATAAAACCCACAGTATTCACAATGATGAACGAATCACACCTGTTAGGGAAAGCTATTATTAAAAACCAAAGGAAGAAAAATAACCACCAAAAGATACCAAATGTTGGCAGAGATGTAGAGAAATAATTAAAACTCTGTACTCTGTTGGTAGGGATTTAATACAGTGCAACTGCTATGGCAAACAGTATGGAATTTCCTCAAAAATTAAAAATGGAACTGCTATATGATCCAGCAATCCCACTTCTGGATATATGTGCAAAAGAATTCACAGCAAAATTTTGAAGAGACATTTACACATCCATGTTTATTAGAGCATTATTCACAATAGCCAAGATGTAGACACAGCCTAAATGTTTATCAATGGTAAATGAATAGAGAAAATATAATTGTGTGTGTGTGTGTGCACACGTGTGCAATAGAATATTATTCAGCCTTAAAAAAGGAAATTTTGTCACATGTGACAACATGATAAATCGAGGATATTATGCTAAGTGAAATTAACCAGTTACAGAAGGACAAATATGTCATGATACCACTTCTATGAGGTAACTACAATAGTCAGACTCAGAGAAGTAGAAAGTAGAATGGTGGTTTCCAGGGACTAGAAGAGGGGGAAATGGAGAGTTGCAGTTTAACGGGTATAAAGCTTCAGTTATGCAAGATGACTAAATTCTAGAGATCTTCTGTACCACATTGTGTCTAGAGTTAACGATATTATACACTTAAACGTGTATTGAGGGGGGAAAATCTCATGTTAAATGTTCTTACCATATTTAAAACAAGAGATTGGCTATAAGGGCTCTGTAGGCTGTTTGTTTAGGTAGTTTTTTTATTTTTGTTTAGCATTTTGGTTGCTAGTTTACCATGATGGTAAGCATTCTGCATGACCATCCTTGTCTCTTGTGTGGTTCATCTTATAGTTAGGGCTATCTATGCCAATATACCAAGAGATTCTGACTGTGTTAATGTTTGAGAGGCATGCACAAGGCCTAAATCTGACAATGTCTTCCTCATTGCTTTGAAGCTCCTGAAGTTAATCATCCCTTTGAGCTAAAGATACGACCCTTATTCGGGTCAAGTTGTTTCCAGATAGTCATTGATATATTGATACCTAGCATGATTTAAATAATCTCATCAGCTAACTGAGAGCAAGTGCATTTTAATAAATTTTGGAAGATTAGAGTTGGATTTGCAAGAGAGGTAATATAGCAACACTAAGATTTGGAGTGAAGAAGAAAGGGAGGGGGGGTCAAGTTTTCAGTCAAGTTTTCAGAAATACTAACATCTAGTGTTCCATCTGTGCTTGGGGCAGTCCTTTCTGTGCTCACAATTTAGCATGATTGACAGCTCTTAAAGAGAAAAGGCCACAGTCATGACCCAAAACTCTTATTTCCTTTCTTTTTTTTTTCTTTTCCCTCATCTTTTCTTTTTCTGAAACCGCTAGCTAGCTATGATATGTAAATACTGCACCTGTCACAGTGACCTCATTTCCGTACCATCTTCTAAGCACTTGGTGACTGATGCTAATTACTATGATGAATGTAGCCAGTGGGAAACTGAATATCCCAGTGTAAAAGAGGAGACCAAATGCTCTGGTCTGTAAAGTGAGAGTACCAGGCCAACAGATCAATACGATTGCTTTGATTAAAGTTCCCTATTTGTTAAGCATGTATATGTATGTAAATACTTTCACTTTTTCCTCTGATCTCTGAAGAAGTGCTTTAAGTTTGAATTTGTCACAACTTCCCAGGGGTGACTCTCAGTTGAAATGTCACTGACAGCTTGTGGTTTGGACTTTTTTTTTTTTTTTTTTTTTTTTTTTTTTAACTCCAGGCAGAATCAAAGAGAAGCTCTTGAACAAGTGCAAGGAGTTGCTGTCAAGCAGGAAGCTATTGTTAGGAAGAAAGTCCAAGGAACCAGCCAATGGCCGGAGGACCGAGCGGAGCAGGTAGGGTAGCCTGTGACTACTTTATATTCAAGGGGAAGGTTCCTCAGATGTTCTTGAAACCACGAAGTAAAAAATGGAGGAGGAACAGAAAAAAAAAAAAAAAAAAAAAAAACCCGAAGAGGAACTGTGAAGTTCAGTCCCCGGCGACCAGCAGTGAGCGGAGGAAGTACAGGGGGAGTTGTAAAAGAGGCGGTGTCAACAGCCTGCTGAGGAAAGAGGCATCTTTGCAGAAAGAGGCAACTTGACATATCAGGACTTTTACCGCTGTAGAGATAGCTCCGGTATACAAAGCCCATGCAAACACAGAATTGCAGAAGTTCAGTAGAGGCTTATCACTTCCCTGAGAAGAAAAGCACATTTTCAGTTTCGTGTGCATACTACCAGGGGACGCTCAATTGCTTTCTTTCCCCGCCACCCTGCTAAAATCCAGTATTAACCGTATGTGTCCAGGTTGAGGATCGAGATCCCGCAGCCCACTCAGCCGGTGACAAAGCGAAGTCTTTGCTGCATGAATTAGAGGAAGCAATCTTGGAACAACAGAATCTCCAGCCTATAAATACCGAGTTGGTGAGCACTTACCAGACACTTGAGCAGAAGAGGAGAAAACTGAAAAGTGAGTAGCAAATATGTGTTATGTCCCAATTCAGTCCACTCGGAGGTGGGGCAAAAAGACTACAGCCATTTTTGTAGATGACAGCTGCTGTGTTAATACCCACATTTATGACAATAAAATGGTTCCAGAAAGCAGTATCGTGGGCTTCCAGAAAGGCTTGCCTAGTGTCCAAGTAGGCTGCTTTAATGGCTAACTTTCCCTTTCAGTTTTTTTTTTTTTTTTTATGAGCTGGATTTGTCTGTGACTGTTACTTCTTTAAAAACTAAAGTCTCAGTATCTGTAAAAGTAAACAAGGAAGGAAAAAATCTTACATGCGTGGGATATTTGAACTCGCAAATGGCTTACCTATCCTACCCCGATTTTATTAGCTAGCTTGTACCCATTGTATGGTAGAAAAGGACCTGCCCTTCTATTTTCTTTTGCATAGTAATTTTAGAGGTGGGCAAAATACTTACAAATTCAGTGTATCAAAATATTAAATATGTGAAAGCTCTTTTTAAATTTTAATGTGCTCTTTACATATATATTTTGCTTTAAAAATTGGAATATTGGTCATTTTTCTGTATTACCTGAAAGTAAGTGTTTACTAAGGATTTAGGTGAAAAGACAATTGTCAAATGACAGATGTCAGATTACTCAGTAGTGAATTTTATTCTGGAAGCATAATTGGGTCAAAATAAAGCTTGCTTATTTGACCATTTATCAAGCAATTGCTTTTATTCAGCCAGCTTCTTGTTCTAGCTGTCCTAGATGATCTTTTTAGATGAAATTATTAATTTGGGTAACAAACAAGTGAATTATCAGCTTAAGCTAAGCTAGAGAAGGAGATTCTCAGACCTGGGTTTGTTTTGGATTTATTGTACTGTTCATACTGCTATCTGAGAATGCTGTTCAAAAGTTTAAATGACTTGGCTAGTTCTAATGTAATAGTAATTATTCAATAATTTTAAGTACCAGTTTACTTTGTCAGTGTAAGGCTTTAAATTACATAATCTATACATTATTTTATGATTGCTCAGAGGGCACTGGAGAAGATTCCCTTGTGATCAGAAGTGTTCTTGTTGAGACATAAGTAAAAAGGCATTCCAGATTTGGTTTACGGTTTGTTTGCTTTAGACACTGTTTTTAGAGGACTAATTTTTTGGGTTCAGTTATATTTATCTTTGATTAAGTCAACATTATACCCCATAGTTTATAAAGCTAAGAATTTATCTCCTCCTACTACTCCCCCCACCCTAATCTCGCCTTTGATTTCCTTTTAATACCTTCTTGGAAGAGTCAACTTTTGTAACTTATCCCAAAATATACATTCTTGATATAACGAAGTTGCTATTGTCTTCCCACTTCATTGGTCCAAATACTACTGAAAGCTATCCTGGGTTGTATTCATATGTTTTTTTTTTTTTTTTCCTGGCTGGATAAAGTAGAGTGGATGCCTCCTTTCTGTCTTGAGTTGCTCACAACCTGCCTGGGTTTTTTTGTTTGTTTTGTTTTGTTTTTTTCGTTGTTTTTTTTTTTTTTCTTGTTTGTATCTTTTGCTGCCCATAGAAGGCATACACATCAGGATTTTGTTCTGAAGACCATTTGCTTATGAGGATTTTTCTAACAATGCCTTAAAAATCAACCTTTGCAACAAGGGAAATTTAGGTGGCACATATTTTTTAAATGTTCTGCGGAGCAGATTTTCCAGATAGACTGTGAATAAATGTCAGCGAGGTAGGACAGTTATCACATAAACACATCCTGGCACATTCCACCATTACCACTGTCACCACATGCTGTTTGAATTCTGAGTCAGACGTTTGAATTCTGAGTCAGAAAATAAAAATATTTAAATCCACTTAGTTCTTCTGAAACTTTCTGGTTAGCTTACTACATTATTAAGTGTTTAAGGCAATGGCTTTTTGTCGCATCTAAGAATGGTTCCTTAGCAAATTGGGTGGGGATTCAGTGATTGTGTCCAAATGTTCAGGTCAATGACAGGGTTCATGAACTGGAACTAGGAAGTTGTTCATGACATTTGAATAGAAATCCTAAACCTAATATTAAAAAAATAATGTCTAAGTTTTCAGGGGCCGCCAGGATTGGACTGATGTATGAGCTTGTAAGTGAACACGCCAGCCTCTGTCACATGTGCCCTTAGAACTGCTGGGTTTCTTGAATGGTTACCTATATATTTTCTTTCTTCTGCTCCTTACCTACGTATATATCTAAGTATCTTGTTAACAAAGGCAATCCTAGGTATATAAATGGATGTTTGTTTTGAAAAGGAAACCAAAAGTCTTCTTAGATCTAGGGCATTTACCTAACATATTAGAGTGGATCTAATGAAACACCGACCACTTGATCTAGTATAGACTATCACCTCATTAAAGTTCATACTCTTTTTACCCCGTCCAACATGAAATCTTCATTGAGTCCCTGATTTAATAAGCAAGGAGGGAACTGATTACCTTTAGAGACTATAAATATTTTCTTGGCCGGAGAGCCTGAGCAGCTCCTGTATATCATAACTCCTTATCTGAACCTAGTATCTGTATCAACTTTAGAGAAGGCTTTTACCTAGATGATCTCTCTGGGAGCTGTCTTCTAACTTGCTGTCCTTAGCATGGAGCGGTTGGGGTGTGGGACAGATAAGAGCCTCAGGGCTTTGAAGATGGCCATGTGTCTTGAGCAGTCAGTACACAAGAGGGACATGAGACAAGAAACGGGGGTTGAGGTGATTGAGGTAAAGATAGGAACAACCCCAAATCATCTCTTGCACAGCAACTCTGATGGGATGGGGGCCTAAATTTTCCCAAATGTAGGAGGCAGAAATGGATGACATAATCTAGGAGGCAGTATAGCCTAATGATTAAGAGCATGGTATTTGGGGGCGCCTGGGTGGCTCAGCGGGTTAAAGCCTCTGCCTTCAGCTCAGGTCATGATCCCAGGATCCTGGGATCGAGTCCCACGTCGGGCTCTCTGCTCAGCGGGGAGCCTGCTTCCTCCTCTCTCTCTGCCTTCCTCTCTGCCTACTTGTGATCTCTGTCAAATAAATAAATAAAATCTTTAAAAAAAAAAAAGCGTGGTATTTGAACCTAAAGGAACCGATGTTCTGATTCTAAGACAAAAGCGAAACTGGATAAAGTTAGGCAAATCTCTTTACCTCTCTGAGTGTCAGTATCCGCTTCCAGAAAACGCAGTAGTTAATTTATAAATAACAAATGCGAAACAGTAGCTGGTGCTCGGGAGAGTCTGTTTGGCTAGAGCACGTTTCTGCCGCGTGCGTTCTCATTCGCCTTTAGCCAATGGGTAATGACTTGATTGCAATATGGAAGTTGTATCATTTCATTCACGATTTTCCTAGGAATAGGGTCTGGCTTGGTGGGAGAACTAGAACCTTCAGCACGGAAGGAGAGAGTGTTCTGCTTGGCTGCTGACAAGCAGGAGGAGCCCTTTTAGCTTTATTTTAAAATTACAAATGAGTGTCTCCACCTGGGCGTCCTCCCCCAGAGAAGAGCCACCCAGCCTTGCGGAGCTCTAGCTGGTGGCAGACGGTACTCCCGGCTGCATTCACTTTAGCAATCCCACTCCCTGAGTTCCACGTCCATCTGTATTTCCTTAGCATCCCACCAGCGCTGTGCCATTTAAATGTCACCAGAATCTCCACACTTTTGTTATTGTGCATTTCTGTTACCCTGTGAGGCCGCCTTTGGTCATTTTAAGAGGCATGTCTCCGTGATCCAAGTTCTCTTCTGAGGCACTAATAATTTATAATTTTGTTTGTTAGTGCTCTGGTTACATGTTGCATATACATTTTTGATGGTCTCTTCCTAACCTGAGTTCATCTCATAAACTGTTTTTTTTGTTCTTGTAATTTTTTAAAAAACAAGTTCTTTAAAAAAAAAATTGATGCATAATTAACATATCATGAAATGTTCAGATCTTAAGTGTATTTTTTTAAGATTTTATTTATTTATTAGAGAAAGCAAAAGCAGGGGGAGCAGGAGAGGGAGAAGCAGGCTCCCCACTGAGTAGGGATCCTGACACAGGGCTTTTTCTGGGACCCTGGGATCATGACCTGGACTGAAGGCAGAGGCCTAACCAACTGAGCCACCCAGGCACCACCTGAAGTATATTGTTTACAAATGCACATTGAAACACAGAACTGTAACCCCACAAAGTTCCCTTGTGTTACTTTCCAGTCACTGCCATTCCCCCACCTCCACCACTATAAGGATCTACCTCTGATCTGATTTTTATCACCGATGGGTTAGTTTAGCTTCTAGAATTGAGATATAAAATATGTACTTTTGTGTTTTTGTCTTCTTTCCCTCATAATATTTATCTTAATATTTTGTGTTTATTAGTGGCATGCCTTTTTCATGATAGAGTCATATTTCTTTGTATGAATGGTTCCATAGTTCAGTTATCTTTTCTCCTATTATTGGACATCTAAATTATTTGCAATTTGGGGTTGTTATGGAGCAAGCTGTTATGAATGTCTGCATATGGGTCTTTGTGTGGACATATGTTGTTCCCTAACCTGGGATAAAGATCTACGAGCAGAGTTGTTAGGGCATAGCGCAGCTGTAACTAAGAAACTGCCAGTTTTCCATAGGGTCAGTAACATTTCACACTCCCACCAGCAGTGTGTGGGAGTTCTGGTTTCTCTACAGCATCAGTGCTTGATGGTGTCAGTCTTTTCCATTTTTGTCACTCTTCTGGGTATCTTCCTGTGATTTTCATTTGTTGTGCCGACTGACTATTGTAAATCTTCTTTGTGAAGTCGTTAAGTCTTTTTTTTTTTTTTAAGATTTTATTTATTTATGACAGAGATAGCAAGAGAGAGAACAAAGCACAGGGGAGCTGGAGAGGAAGTAGGAGGATCCACGCTAAACAGAGAGCCCAATAGGGGACTTGATCCCAGGACACTGGGATCATGACTTGAGCCGAAGGCAGATGCTTAACAGCTGAGCCATCCAGGCTTCCCTGAAATATCTAAATCTTTTGCCCATTTTCAAATTGGGACATTTGTCCTTCTGTCATTGGTTGTACAATTTCTTTACATATTTTGGATACAAGTCCTTTGACAGATATATGTATTGTGAATTATTTTCTCCTGGTCTCTGATTTTCAGTGAAACTTAATTTTTTTTGAATACACAGTTTTATAGAACATAACACATCCATTGTGTTATAAAAGTTCACGTTCCATAAATGTCAACCATCATTGATAGCATTATTATTGCACTGATACTAAAGTTTTAATTATCAACAGCCAATTAATTGTAGGGCCTTTTATCTCCGCTTCCTTCAAAGACAGTGTATCTAAGACACCCGGTCCCATCCTATATCGCAGATGGCAATAGCGGGGGATGTAGTGGCCATTGTTTCATTTGTTTCCATGTAAAATCTAAATGTCCTAGAGACATGGCAGGTCCAACTCCAAACACATAAAGAATGCAAAGGTGAATGCATATTAGGCTCATAAGGCAATGTATTTTGCCTCATGGAACATATGGAAATAGTTGCTACACGTTGCACAAAACATCTGTTGAAACAAGGTTTACGATTTAAATGTTTTGAGATGGACTAGTCCTAAAACCCAAGATTGCCTGGTGGGAAAGCAGATGGGCAATTTAGATAGTCTTATACAAATTCATTATTTCTTCTGAAATACAAGCCTATTTGGAAATCCACAGAGAGTGTCTTGGAGAAACACAACCTTCACAAACATAATGTTGGTCACTTCTGAGAGGTTTGGTTGCTTTTGCTTAGATGTAGGTCGGGAGAAGGATTTATTTAATACAGTTAAAAGAGAGAATTTTCTAAAACAATCTTTTACTAGAGTTTTAAGTATTAAAAATTACTTAAATATGTTAGAAATTTTTAAATAAGTATTTTACTCCTAGTGGGCTTAGTAACACTAAGTGAAGCTTAGTTGTGAAATAAGTTATTTTTACAAAAAAAAATTCTTACAAAATAGGATTTTACATGGTAATTTTCAATATAATTGAAGCTTTTTAAGCCTTTTTCTTAGAAAAAAATTTTGTTAGATTATGTACTTTTTCACATATATTAGTATTATTTTAATGGCTCAGAATTTTTCAGTCTATTGAGATAGAAAACTGTATGGTTTGGACACCAGAGTATTTGCTGTTAATTTTCCTTGCTGTTAGTGTTAAAAAAAAAAAAAAGGTAGCTATTAATATGTCTCCATCTAGCAGAGCTTCCTACCCTCATGTAATTTTTGTTTTTAATCATCTGTGGGTTGAGAAGGCAGTCAGAGCTTGTCAGAATCATGTATTAATTCAGAGCCTACTGTACAAGTGGAAGTGTGAGGAATTGCCACAGGAATAAAGGCCATGAATATCAACATCTATTTTGGTGCACAAGATTTCGGCCTATTTTCTGGTTCTTGTCTATATTTTAAAGAGTGTAGATTGTCAGGTAAGTGATATGTACCTGTGTAACTCAAAAAGTTAAAAAGGTTTTTCTTTTCCCCCTCATTTCTGTTACTCCAGAGATGAAAAATTGGAAGTTACTGGGAGGCAGATTTCAGTGAAGTAGAAAGACAAACATTTTTAATTTCATGAAAAAGTATACTGAATCGAGCCTCATCCTGTGAGTCTGATCCCAGCATGACTAACCAGTTATCATTGAAATCCACTGGACAACAGTGTTCTTGTCATCTCAGACCTACCCGTAGGATTCTGGGATCACAGGGCTCTGATTCTAGGGGTTGCCATCCCTCACTCACAGCTCATGCAGAGGCTTCTGGGAGAGAGGATTTCTACATTCTAGGCAGTTGGACTGAATGACCTCTGAGGTGTATTACTGTGTTAAGGTGGAATCATTCTGACTTCTAGAGGACATCTCTCACATCTGTGGAGGGGAATTTGGAATGCCCAGCGGGGATCATGGGTTAGCTGCTCTAGCCTTTGTTCTGCTCTTCCATTCCCACCAGACATGAGTTGAGAACTCCATTCTCAGAAGTCACTGCTTTCTTTCTCCCTTCCTCAGACCCCAAATTTAAAGCTCTTAAAAGTTTATGAGAGGAACTGAGGGAAAATGGGGTTACAAATTATCCTATTAAGCTGGTTATGAATTCTCTTTCTAGCAACAACTGAGTCACTGAGAAAGAAGTTAATTAAAGGACACCTCCATGGCTTGTTATTTCAGGTAAAAACAAAAACAAAAACAAAAAACTTGTGATATGTATTTACTATGGGGAAGAGGTCCAATTTGTGTAAAGTTTTGAAGCTAATTTATAATAGATAATCATTTTAATCATAAAATTAAATAACCAACTTAGAAGAAAATGCTCTGGTGGACTTTGTTCTCTTCTGCACTGTGAAAGCATTTAACAAAACAAGAGTGGGGTTCTCATTAGTGAATAGCTCCTAATAACATCTTTCAAAGAGAAAGCGTTTCAGAATTTACTGTACCTATTAGCAAAGGGCCAGTGTTTTAGTCTTAGGCACATCCTTTCTGATACTCTTGAATGTGTACTGTTAGATGGGCTGGGATGGTTCCTGCATCTTTTTTCTCCTATTTATTTTTTTTGGTTTGTGTGTGTGTGTGTGTGTGTGTGTTTAAGAAGATTTTACTTATTTGAGAGAGAGAGCACATAAGCAGGGGGAGTGGGAGAGGGAGAGGGATAAGCAGGCTCCATGCTGAGCAAGGAGCTTGGCTCGGGGTTTGACCCTGGGATCATGACCTGAGCCAAAGGTAGACGCTTAACCAACTGAGCCACCCAGGCGCCCTCGTATTTGAATTAAACTTTCAACCCCTTCCTGTCTGGATATCTCAATATATCCATGGTAGAGTTCAATGTATTTCTTTCACTTATGCTACTTGGTGAATTTCTCCTTTTTGTTCATAAATGAGGAACATAAGGAACAGTAAGGTTGGCACTGGGGGCGGGGACTGGAGAAGGGATGAAAGAAGGGTGGTGTCTGCATGTATCTGTTCCCAAGGCATAATGCAGGCACATCTGTTTAAGTAGGAAAAAAAAAAATTATGCATGTGGGAGATTAGGCCAGGCAGAGTGCCTAAAAAGCCCCCTACAGTAAATTGAAGTGGAAAAAACCTCCACATCTAAATATGCTTTAATCTTACCAGGAACACCGATACAATTTTCTATAATGTAATTGTGATAGGTATATTTCTACCTCTTGGACTAAGGCCACAATTTGATTGCTATGGGATTCTCAGAGGCACCATTTTCACTACACTGACCTGTCTCCAGACAACCTTCTTTGGCCTCTGCCTGAAGCTTTCAGTGACAAACCCGTTGCATTTCCTGTCCCCAAACTTTGACTTTCATTCCTAGAACAAGGGGCAAAATGCAATAAAGCCTTTACCATTACAAGACTGTTCCCTTAAACCCTTGACAGAACCGGCCAATACTACCCTCCTCAGGTAGCATCATATCTGCTCTTAAGTCTAATATGCTTTGTATCCTTGATGCTGTCGTCATTCTGCCTTTGAATATGCTCCACCATTTTCTCATGACAGAGCTGTTTAGATGAGGAATTTCCTTGTTGTGATCCCTTGTCCTGCACAGATGGAATTCAACAACCATTTCAAGAAAAACTGGTAAGTTTAAGCTTTTTGAAACAAGTTAAGTGCCAGTAGTGAATCACTACTATGTCAAAAAGGAAAGCAAAGCCCAGTGTGTATTACTAGTCTTAGAACTCTAAGCCAGACCATTTTTGGGAGATTATGAGATGAAACAATGAATACGTACTCTTTTTTTTTTTTTTTTTTTGTTTTTTTACTTTTTTTTCTTTTGAGAGAGAGAGAGAACACAAGCAGGTAATGGGGGACAGAGTGAGAGAGTCCTAAGCAGTCTCCAAGCCCAACACAGGGCTTGATTTCATGACACTGAGACCATGACCTGAGCTGAAATCAAGAGTTGGACACTTAACCCACTTAACCAACTGAGTCCCCCACGTGTCCCTTCTTATTCTTCTTCCTTGTCACACACATGCACAAAATGCCAGTAGATACTACGATACAGTGATACATTAAATTATTTGATTGTGGTATCATGAAGAAGTATTGTATAACTAAGGTTACCCATCACCCATATCTTTATCCTCAAGGCTTTTGCTTATATGACAGTATCGATTATTGGGAATTAATACAATTCTGTTAAATTATTGAACTGTAATTTTTAATGAGAATTATACTTTACCCATAGGGTATAGCTTTCAATCAAAAGGTTGAAAGCTTTATTACTTGGGATCATTTATTTTCTTCTTGACCTCTCTCACAGGGTTATTTAGACCAGTGATATTCTTTCTACCTTTGGAGATGAAGATAATAGATAATGAAATATGTTATACCCTTTAGATAGCTAATACTATTTAATTTTCTGTTCAGAAGCGGTGTTGCCATAAACGATATAGTGGTCAAGAAGCAAGACTACATCAGACACTCCTGACCTTCATACATACGAGCTGGTATACACCTCCACTAGGTAAGCATGGATAGCCGCCCCCCTTACACCCACCCTATCAGGCATGGCTGAGGGTGAGGTTCTTTTTGAAATGGAAAGTCATTAATCACAATTATATTTGTATAGGAAAAGTTGTTGTATACTCAAATATTTATCCTTGAATTCTCTCAGTCAACTTCTGTTGGAGCACCTACTCTGTGCAAGGCCCCATATTTCTGTATAATAAAAAATAAATCTTAAAATAGCTCACAGATTATCAGGGAGGTTAGAATGGGCCCAGAGAAGTCAAAGAAGGCTTCGTAGAAGAAATGAGAGTTGAAGCAGGCCTTAAAAGATGGGTTGCATTTGGAATTGCAAAAAGGATGGAAAAAGAATTTTAGCTGGGGAGGACAAAATGAAACAGAAGAATGCAAAAGTCTCAAGTGTTTGAAGAAGAATCGAAGCTGGACAAGTCTTTTTTAGATGAGTTTGGTTGTGATGCAGTAGAATGTAAGTTTGGAGCTTTTTTGGTTGTGGGTCATATTGTGAACTATGACTCAGTGTCAGGTCAAGGAGAATGAATTTCATCTTAGGAAATGCTCATGGTAGTGACATCTCTCATCACAACCGAGATGTGGCTGAAAGCAAAAGTTAATGGCTGGTTCTGAAATGACCAAAAGACATGGGATGGTTTGCAAAATAAAGTTAAGAAGAAATAAAGAGCAAGTAGACTGATCTGTGGATCATTTCAACTAGAGAAGGGAAAACTACTACCACGACTAGTAGAATGGCCACTTTGCTTCAATCAATAGCATACGACTTTACAGAGATATTTTACTCACACTAACCCAGGAATAATAACACAACCACAATCCGGCAGTGCCTGCAGATGCCTGTTCTCTGCTCTTAATGTCACTATTACCTCATTTAATCCTCACCACATCCCTGCCAGAAGATGCTAATGTAAGATAAGAAGGATAAGGAAACAGAGGAATATTGACTTAGTAATTTGCCTAAGGTCACGTGTTACTTCACAAGCAAGTAAGCTGAGGCTCGGAGTAGTTGAGGTGCGTATCCAAGAGCACACAACTAGTATGTGGCAGAACAAGGATTTGAACGAAAACTTTCTGATGGACTCCCAAGCCTCTGTTTTTTTCCTATTACTCATTCCTATGCTCGGAAAAAAACACCTAAGATGGTTTCCTCCAAAACATGTGGTCTGGGGGCACCTGGGTGGCTCAGTGGGTTAAAGCCTCTGCCTTCAGCTCAGATCATGATCCTAGGATCCTGGGATCGAGCCCTGCGTCAGGCTCTCTGCTCCGTGGGGAGCCTGCTTCCCCTCCTCTCTCTCTGCTTGCCTCTCTGCTTGCCTCTCTGCCTACTTGTGATCTCTGTCAAGTAAATAAGTAAAATCTTAAAAAAACAAACAAACAAAAACCACGTGGTCTGTTACCCTATTTCCTTTGTTTCTAATGGGTCCCCATCCCCATGTCTGACCATTTTGTCTTCAGGAGTTGGTAAAGCTGTTTCTGTCAGGGGCAGACAATAAATCCTCCCGGCTCTGGCGGCTGTGTGATTTCTGCAGCAACTACTTGGTATCACACATGCAGCCATGGTATGAATGAATGGGTGTGTCTGTGTTACAGGAGAACTTTATTTACAAAAACAGGCAGCTGGCTGTATTTTACCCTCTGGCTGCAGATTGTTGACCCCTCTAGCTGCTTTTAGGCAAGTATTTTCTGCCCTTTCCCCACTCTGCTTAAAAAAAAAAAAAATGGCATTTTCACTTCATGTAACTAAGCATCAAGGAGGGGGAGGGTTAATAGAATTGAGTTGACTTCTGCTTTATATATACGTACATACATATATACATACACATATATATACACACACATATAATTTTATATATATGTATAATTTATATATTACATTTATTAAAACATATATTTATTATATATAAAAATAAATATAAATATATGTGTATTTATTATCTAGTTTAAACCAGAAATAAATTTTTGGTTTTATTCTTGGCTGTTCTGCAGATGTCTTGCATGTAGAGAGTCTCACAGCAATTCCAAGAGTGGAAGTGACACTTCTCTCAGGTGTAGCCAAAAGAATCCAGGTTTCATGTGAAAGGCCCAACTATGGAGAATTAGAGGATGGAGCTTTGGATGTGACTAGAAGACGCAAGTAAGTTAAACGAACAGAATATACTTACCCTGTTCTTCACAGGTGGCCTTTTTTTTATTGCCTAGACTTTTTAAAAATTATTATTTTTATTAACATATAATGTATTACTTGCCCCAGGGGTATTGCCTAGACATTTAGTCAGTTAGACTTTTGTATCCTGAGACCATCATGTCTTTATTATGGAGTTCTTACAATGGAACTTCTGACTTTCTGAAAATTGGCAATTTTAAAACAAAGATACCTCTATAGTTTTCTTGAAGCGACTTTTCTTGTTCTTTGATTCCCCTACTATCCATTCTAAAATGTAAAAGACAAATTAGGCTAGCTGAATGTTTCCCAGTTTTTAGGAATCTACTATCTACTGCTAAGTTAACTTGGGTCAGTTTTGAGCATATTCCTTCTTCCTCAAGGCTAATGAGCCTCTGCAAATCCCTGCCCCCACACCCACCCTCTACCCAAGTTCCTCTGTGCTCACCTTTCTGAGTACGCAGACTGAACTTCCTTAGGAAATGTTTCAGAATGTCAGTGGAGTTTGTGCGCACTGTTCACTCCCATGAAATTTCCTTTCTGTATCAAGGGTAAGGAAGCAAGACTTTGAATTGCAAATTCTTTATTTTCATTTTTGTCCAGCTTCTCTATGGTTTGCGACCTCTCTCCGGTGGAGGTTGGTGCTCTCTTTCCTTGTATCTTACTAAAACCATGAGCTTAATTAGAAATTTGGTTAAGTTGGGACAGGGAAGGGAAGCATTTGATATCTGCCAAAATTCTCGGTCTTTCTCTCTGTAGTAAGGAACTTTGCTTTCTATTGTCAGGTGCCCAGGCCCTAAAGTTGGCCCCTACCTAGGATCAGATCTTTCCGGTTGCATCAGGATGAATGATGACCTAAGGATGGAAGTGAGCATTTGACTATATTTCTACTTTATTTTTAGTACTACTGTTATCCTGGTCATCTTCTATGGGTGTGTGTGTGTGTGTGTGTGTGTGTATTTGAAGTATTATGGGCACTCTTACAGCAAATATGAATCTTATACCACAAAACACAGATGCCTGAGAAAGACCAACATTTGATGGCAAGAAATTAAAATTCAGCCATTTGGGGGCTTTCTGTCCCTTCTGTAGTATTAACACAAGGAAGCCAAAAGGAGATATTTGGTGAAGTACACTGAAGATTTTGTTAAAGAGGCAGGTTGGTTTGGGACTTAAAATTCACTCATGACTCTAAGACGTCTCAGGTCTTATTGTCTAAGAATTGAAGCCAAGCCTAGGTAATATTTGATGTGCTTGTACTTTGTAAAAAGTCACAAAGTAGGGCAATGCCCATAGAGTATTCATTGCTGCAGTCAGGTGCTAATTGTACTTCTCCACCTAAATAAAAAAATAAATAAATAAAAGAGTAACACTGAATAACATATCATTTAGGCAAACTCTCCAGGTTATGGAGGTATGTGTGGAGTGCTTCCCTCAGTCTACAGCCTGAGCCTGGCCATAATTTTCTCAATCAAATGGAGCCCACAGTTCTGTTTCAGGATATAATAACCCATCATTCATCCTTTTTCTTTCATTGCTTAATTGAGCTATAATTCACATATTAAACAATTGGATTAATTAAATGTTTTTAAATAAATTCACATAATTACACAGTCATCACCAAAATTAATTTTAGAACATTTTGATCATCCTAAAAAGAAGCCTCCTGCTCATTGACAGTCTATCCCCATTCCCCCCATCCCCAACCTCAGTCTGAGACAATCACTAATCTACTTTCTATCTCTTACATATTTGCCTAGTCTGGATATCTCCTATAAATGGAATAATATAATATGTAACCTCTTGTGACAGGCTTCATTCACTTGGTATAGTGTTTTCAAGGTTCCCCCATGTTGTAGCATGTATCAGTATTTCATTCCTTTTTATGACTGAATAGTATTCCAGTGTATGGATATACCACATTTTGTTGTATCCACCCATCAGTTGATGGGCACTTGGGTTGTTAACATTTTTTGGCTACATGAATGATGTTACTATGAATGTTAGTGTATAAGATTTTGTGTACACATATTGGTATTCATTTGGGTATATACCTAGGAGTAGAATTCCTACATCATATGGTAACTACCATTTTGAGGACCTGTGAAACAAATTTCCAAAGTGCTTACCCCATTTTACATTCCCACAAGCAATGTATGAGTATTCCAATTTCTCTAAATCCTTGTCAACATTTGTCTGTTTTTGTTTTGTTTTTGTTTTTGTTTTTTAGGATTTTATTTATTTATTTTACAGAGATCACAAGTAGGCAGAGAGGCAGACAGAGAGAGAGAGGAGGAAGCAAGTTCCCTGCTGAGCAGAGAGCCTGATGCAGGGCTTGATCCCAGGACCCTGACATCATGACCTGAGCCGAAGGCAGAGGCTTTAACCCATTGAGGCACCTAGGCACCCCTGTTTTTGTTTTTGTTTTTAAATTATAGCCATCTTAACAGGTGTGAAGTAGTTTTGATGGTTTGGGTATGTTTTTCCCTAATGACAAATGATGTTGAACATCTTTTTGTGTTCTTGTCAGCCACGTGTACATCTTTGGAGCTATGTCTACCCAGATCTTTACCCATTTTAAAATATGGAGTCCTTTTTACTACTGAGTTATGTGAATTATTTTTATTATTTCTCTCAAGTGTGTGTATCTGACATTTTTCTGTTCCTTAATACCCATCCTATTGAGTAGCTAAGAAAAGGAAAGAAAAAGGAAATGAATCTATTTTGCTATTACTTAGCAGTTCTTATAAAGTTTAATAAAGGAAGTTGGACTAGGAAGCTTACAGGATGCTTGGTTATTAGTAATTCCCCTTTTATCTGGCACTGATTTCACCAACAAGGGGGAAGAAATAGGTATCAGTTGTGTACCTGGCACTTTGTAGGAAAGCATGTCCACATGCCATGTTATTAATCTTCTCCACAACTTTGGTAGGTATTCTCTGCTTTTATAGATGAGACAACTGAAGTTCAGAGAGGTTAAATAACTTATCCAAGATCATTCAACTGGTAACTAGCAAACATGGGATTCAAATTCAGGTTTGTCTCACTTCAAAGGATAAACCTTTCTCACAGCCCCTCTTAGAACAATGAATTTAGACCTTTTGATCATAATAATTACTCATAATTACCTTGGAAGTAGTTTTTTTGGCTAAGAAATGTGCTATCTAAAAGGATCTCCTAATCCATTTTCATTAGGATATATGACAGGTTTTGTCTGTGGCCTTGACACTATTAAGAAACAGGAGCTAACAGACCATAATAGAAACTCCTGTCAACCTTCCCTGGGGAAATGTATGCACCCTCTGAGGTTTTCATGCTGTCTTCTGTGTCATTCTTCGAGAGTCCCCAGGAACTAGTCCGTTGGCTGTACTTGACGGCTGAAAGCACCACTTCTCACCATTCCCTTCCCAGGTGTCTGCTCTGCAGCCCGGCCACTGCATGAGTCCCTCTTTCATGCCTGTCCCTTGAGCAGATCCTCACTTCCTACCCTTCAGACTCCCCACAGCCATCTCTAAACGAATAGAAAGTTCTCCTGAGAAAAAACATTTTCTAAGTATTTTTGTTAATAAGTGCAAAGAATTAGAATGGAATATGAGCTAAAAATTATAAAAAATGTAATCTGTGGCTACTCCAGTGACTCATAAATTATAGCATTTTCTTAAGTCTTTGTCTTCAAACTATAGGGTTTTTGTCAACCTTGATAGCCTTCATAAGCAGCAGCTTGATTTGGTCTTCGAGCCTCTCTCTAATCTGGTCACAACCTGCCTTTCCATCCTTTCCCATTGTTTTATGGTTGTCCCTGCAGGTCAGCGAAACAGAGTAGTGTTTATCATCAGAATATACCACAAAAGCCTGCTTATACTGTTCTCTCTGCCCAGAACACATGCACTTCTCCGTTTCTCAAACTCTATGTGAAATGGGTTGAGGCCCATTTCAAAACTAGCTCTTCCATAAAATCTTGTCATGGTAGCAAGAAATGTTTACAGTGAAGCATCTCCTGTCCTTCTGGACTAGAGGTAGAAATCAGAATAATTAGAAGCTGAGAGATGATGAGGTTTTTCCCTGTTTCTACCTCTGTGTAACTGTGGAGAAGTCCTGTCTCTCAGGCCTGTTTCCCCCTTTCTCAACTATCCCACTCAGGGAAAAAAAAAAGTAAGTTTGCCTCCTTCTTTTAGACCCCAGTAACTCTTTGTCCTCCTTGTTGTCACCTATATACTCTGGTTGCCTTGTAATTCCTTGTTTTCTTGTATTTATTCTGTAGGAGATCAGAAGTCTGGTGGAGAGTGCCTCTGGCCATTAACAATATGCATCTGGCACTTGGCATAAATTTGGTGTGTGGTAGCCGCCTGTTAATACTCACCGAACACCTATTTACATACTTATTCTTGTGCTCCCTCCAGGGCCTATTTAAAACATCAAGATTGAGCACTCAGGGACATTGTTGACAACCTTGCTCCATTGTTTTCTGCCTCCTTTCTTGAACTGGCATTCTTGAGAACTGGAGATTTATTTTTTATTCATCTCCCGTATTCATAGAAGAAGCTACACTCCAGCATCCTTTTCAGAAAGCACAGGATGAGGTAAAAGTGAATATCTGTATTCTGAAGAGGATCTTTCTGAGTGAGCCAAGGACTCATAAGATTATTGTCTCAAGAAGAACATTTCATAATAAAAAAATATTGGGGGCTCAGTTTGGGACATTCTTGGGAAATACAAAGTTCCTTTATTGACCCAAGAAAATTCATATTGTAATGTAGAGAGAAAAGAGGAAAATTATTCCAATCCTTGTCTTCTAGAGATTCAGACTGAAATGTTTGATATCTGGGATTTGCATCAAAACAATGAGGGGGTGGTTTTAGTGGGTGACAGACTAGATTGGCCACAGGTTAGTAATAGATGAATCTGCAGAATAGGTACACAAAGGTTACTTATTCTGTTCTGTTACTTTTGTCTTTATTTAAAAGTTTTCCCACTAATGACTTAGAATTTTTAGCCACATAGCATAGGTTTTAGAATCAAGCAGGCCTGAATTTAAGACTGGTGCCATTCCTTGTTAGCTGTGTAAACTTGGACAAGTCTAACCTCTTTGAATTTACCTCTCTGTGTCCCCTGTGAAACAGATACTACTTTTCAGGGTTCTTTTGAGTTTTCAAACACACAATACATACAATACACGTATGCATATACCTACCTGCAATGGCTAAGTTCTAGCCTAACCAATCCACTGAAGACAAACCAAGTTGGCCATATTTAGAGAGAAGACAAATCTTAATTCTATTTCCCCACTTGTTGCTGAATAGGAAGGCCTTTCATCAACATGGGGTCCCTTCTCAACATTTCCAATAATCTCTAGGGACATATACTGATATCTCCTAATGTCCTCTAGGCCCCACCAAGTAGTGGGTCCCAGGGAAAGAGATGTAATCTCCCCCAGAGATTGTGGGGAAAAGAAGCTGGTTCCACCACTCCTATCTCTGCAGTCTTCTTTGTTCATGATCCCTCCTGCCCACAGGCCCTCCAAGTTGACCTCCTTGGAGCTCTGTGTCTGATCACCTAGGGATCTTCTCACCCTGGCTGGTAGAGAGATCAATTCTCCCTTCAGGTCTTCCTGTGGTGCTGGGTAGATTGCTTGTGATGGGATTGTTCAAATTTCCCTCTCAGTGAATTTCAAGGCACATAAATAATCCAGCAGGCTGGGAGGCACAGTGGTCAGTCAGTAGCAGCCTCCCACTGCCTCCAGTACTGCGGCACGCTTCAGGAGCTAGGCCTGGTGGTCCATTTAGCACAACTTCCTCAACTCTTCCTCACTCTTGGCAGTTTCTCTCCAGGGCCCAGCTGTCTCTCCTTACAGTCTGTCATCTATTCCTTAATCACTGCTTCCACCGTGGAGTCTGAACAGCAACCCAAGTGCCAAACTAGACATGTGCTTAGGTACCTGTGTGAGTTCCCAAAAACTCCAAAAATTAAGGAACTTCGTGAAAATTCTATGATTACGAAACTGATTCTTCTGTCTACCTATTTCAGTCTCAGATCTGACCCCACCAAGACACTTTATAGTATGTATGCAAAGTTCCTGGTTCCCAGTAAACACTCAGAAAATAGCAGCTGTGACTGTCCTCCAGGATCAGAATGATCAGCATCGTGAAGCTCAGAAGATCCCTTGTCATGAGCATTATGTAGTGTGCAGACTTGTCAAATCCCTATCTTGTATACCTGAAACCAATACAGCATTGCATGTCAACCACACATCAATTAAAAAAAAAAAAAAAGAGGGGTGCCTGGGTGGCTCAGTTGGTTGGGTATCCAACTCTTAATCTCAGCCCAGGTCTTCATCTCAGGGTGGTGAGTTCAAGCCCATTTTGGGCTCTACACTGGGCACAGTGCCTACCTTAAAAAAAAAAAAAAAAAAAAAAAAAAAAAAAAAAGGGGAAGAGGAGCGGGAGGAGGAAAAAGATACCTTATCACAGTCAGAAGATATGAAGACGAATTGCTCTGTTTTTACTTTGGCTGTTCAAAAAAAAAAAAAAAAATGTATTGCCATCCCTTTGAGGTGTCCCTCGTGTTATTACATGTTTTTGTCTAAGATATACTATCACTAGGAGGAGGTGATTTATGAGACAAAGGACAGAATGAATTTTGAAATATCTCAGAAGATTTTCTGGCCATTGTCTGTCCTGTTCTCTCAGTCTGTGTGTATTGTGGCATTAATAACCTTGGAGAATAAATAACATTGCCTGTTGCAAAATAGGGAGATGTAGAAGTTGACTGATAACTGCACTAGAGATGAACCTCATAGTGGTAGGTGTGTCCTGTAGATCTGAGGGTGTGGTGTCCTTTTAGTTACAAATTAAAAAAAAAAAAAACAACTTGTGAGGCATTTTACTTTTGTTTAGGATACAGTAGTTGTGATCTTTTGGCATTCAGTTTTACATTCTTTCTCTTTTTAGAACATCAAAACTGGCCCTGAGTCAAGGGCTTTTTTTTTTTTTTTTTATTGATTTCATTTATTTGACAGACAAAGATCACAAGTAGGCAGAGCAGCAGCCAGAGAGAGAGGGAGAAGCAGGCTCCCTGCTGAGCAGAGAGCCCAATGGAAGGCTGGATCCCAGGACCCTAAGATCATGACCCAAGCTGAAGGCAGAGGCTCAACCCACTGAGTTACCCAGGTGCCCCAAGTCAAGGGCATTTTTAAAGTTAGAATGAAATAGGACCCTATGGATTTGCAGTTTTTTTCTCAGAAAATCCTATTAATTTGTTTGAGTGGCACCAATCATCTACAATAGACCTATCAGCAAAAATTACATTGGTAAGGTGAATGTAGATTAGTGCAAGAGTTTCTAATCATAAAATCTACAGATGAAGAAACATTTCATCTAGGAGAGCAAAAATGAAGTAACCCCAGGAAATTATCTAAGCCTGTAATTACCCTTACGAATATCTTAAAAGCTATTTCTTATTGTTCTTTAACTTTTCCTACCTGAATATTGAAATAATACTGATGTGCATGTGTGTGTGCGTGCATGTGTGCACATGTGCCCGTGTAGCCTGTATTTGCTGACCCAGCCCATGGGAGAATATGTCTCAGTTTGTTCCATGAGCACCTTGGCTACCGCACCCTCCAGTAGATGTTGTCAAAAGCAAATGGGCTGGACCCTGGATTTTCATGTAAATGTTATGCAGGTTGATATTTGAATGGCTTGCGCAGGAAGAACATTCTTCCTGCTCTGTGCTACCGACATGTGTTAGACTCATTGACTTGAGCCAGTGTTCTACGTGTAAGTAAGTCTGTCATTGGAGCTCTTTTTCTTGCTTTTAGTCAACTTCTTAGCTTTGCTTGGTTTTGAAATATAGCCAGCAGGTTATCTTTTTCATGACTTGCCCAGGTCTTTGATAGTTATGTGGGGGTTAGGGTTTCCTGTGAGTCTGGGATGCTGGTTTGAATAGTGGTGACTTTGATGCTGGAAAAAAAAGAACACAGTTGTGGAAAATTTTGCCAAGTTATTTCCCACCCCCACTCCATATGCACAGACACCCTGAGGAGTTGTATTTCCAATTTCATTAACTACAGTTCTAAATTTGAAAAAACTTCTTTTGTCCAGTTACACTTGTAAGAAGGGAGAAAATGCTGTTAGATCAAATTTATGAAAATCTGGGGTTGAGATATGTTGTATATTGTTTTTTTTCTGATCAGTGAGATTTATAAAGACTAATGAATTGGAAGTAATATCCAATTGCTTACCTAGCAACTGTTTCAGAACAATAATGTGTGGCTACTAAATATGTGACATTTCTCCAAAATTATAGAATTAATAATCTGTATTTTATATTTATCAAAAAGTTTCTCACTAAAATGTTTCACATAAAAGGTACTGAACAGAAAGGCTTATACAGACTATTAGAGCAAATAAGACTAATTTATAATATAATGGAAGTAAACTCTATTTCTGCTGTATTTTGATTTTAAATGAGATTTTTTTTAAAAAGTCTATAGAAATGATGTGTTTCCTTTCTCCCCATATTAGAAGTCAGTTTAATTAAATAGAAAGTGACTGTATTCTCTTTTATACCCCTTAAGTTCGGATACGGGTATCTGTAACCCTAATAGGTATAATTAGTTTTTTTCAGACAAAATTAACTTTTTGGGGCACCTGGGGGGCTCAGTGGGTTAAGCCTCTGCCTTCGGCTCAGGTCATGATCTCAGGGTGCTGGGATTGAGCCCCACACGGGCTCTCTGCTCAGCAGGGAGCCTGCTTCTCCCCCTCTCTCTGACTGTTTCTCTGCCTACTTGTGATCTCTCTCTCTCTCTGTGTCAAATAAATAAATAAAAATCTTTTAAGAAAACAAAATTAGGCTTTTAGTTAGTGCAATATTATTATTATATATGTGTTAACTATAGGACAGTAATAAGTATCATTTCAAGCCATATATTATCAAATTTTTATATGTTATAGGGTGTTAAGTGTGCCTGATTTTTAAATTATTGTTAAGGAATGAATCCTTGTTGACGTTTATGACGTATGATACTTGATGAAACTGAAGGATATTTAATATTTTCCTTTTTTATAGCTTCATTTCTTATGTATACATTGGAATATAGTTAAATAAGCATATAACAATTACTAATGCATCTCTTAAATATTTTAATGATAGAGTTATCATCATTTACCTGTAAGTTATAAAGTACAATTTCTCTTCAAAATATAATTCAAATATAACCCCATTCTGTTCTGTGCATATTACTTTCCTCTGTGGAGTGTTGCCTATAATTTTTGATTTTATGTATTTGTCTTCCTGACTGGCTTACAAACCTCTCTGGGACAAGGACTGTAGTTTTGTGTGTGTGACAGGCTGGCTTCTGTCACTGCTTCTGGGACAAAGTGAGGCTTTGATGGAAGCTGATGAATTAAATCAAGCTGATGTCGTGACGGCCTTCAAGCACACATGGTCTGACCCAAAGGCATTTAGCCAGAGACAAAATGAAATAAAACAGAAGATTGCCTAACATTGATATGTAGGATTAGGTATAAATTCTTGCTTTGCACGTTTGTGGATTCTTCTAAACATTGGAGCTGAACATCTTAAACGTTTATGTTTAAATCATGTACCGGTGTGTAAGACCGTGACTGGGAAGTCTGTGCCTCACCAACAGCCTGGGTTATGGGGTCTCAGACACAGTTCTGTTCACAGTGGAGAGGACACTATTAGTTCGAACTGGGTTTGGAGGCTGATCCCACTATTCAGAATCTTCCTGGGAAATTATTTTATTCACTGGTTTTACTTTCTCTACCTGAAATAAGTAAATATTTTCTTGCTAAAACCCACTTTCTAAGGTTATTGGGAGAATGAGTTGGAATGCTATATAAAAGGGCTTCTGTACATTTTAAATGCTGTCATTATATTGCATAACTATGTATTCTGCAAACTGTTACTAAGCCCGTACTTTTCTGTTGCGATAGTCTATGTAGTCTGGGGTAGATTCCAAATACTGTGTGTGATACAGTGTTCCTCCATTGAAACCTGTTGTTGGGTTGTGGCTGTTAATAAGTTCTCTCCTGGGTTATAGAATATGTAAATGTCTTCATCTCTTTGTTGTTTGTGCACATTTTTGATCAGTTGGTTTCAATTTTCAATATTAAATTCCTATAAACCAAACAATGATGAAAATAGACGTATTAGAAAAACATAATATTAAAGAGTAATGCATGTTCCCACTGTATTATTTGAGAGTAAGTGCGCTAATCAACCCTAACATCCTAAAGTTCCCTCTAAATTAGGAACTTATGATCAAGATTAAGAAGTTCAAATAAGACTTTCAAACACTTGCCCTGGCAGCCTGGGACCACGATTTTGTTAAGCTCTGTTTGAGCACCAAGTAATAGGTGCTGATGTAGATAAGAATCTCAAATATCCTTTAGATCTTTGAGAATGGGATTAAGTTTAAAAGGTATTATTTGTCTAGCTAGAAAATTGAAAACCATTTTTAAATCATCAGGTCAAAAGTTTTAGGTTGATTATTTCCATAAATAGAAATGTTGTGTTATGTCCACATAGAATGTTCTGTTTAAAGACAACTTAAGTTCATGAAATAAACTCTATCTGCCCTTTAAGTTTAGAATTTGTTTTGCCCAAGAATTTATTAGGTATTCTTTAAATATTAGACTTGTAAGTATATTTAAAATTGGATTTTTTTTTTTGAAAGTACAACTTGGAGAATGTATGTTTATCAATCTGTCCTATAGCGTCCCATTCCCATATCCTCTTTAAAAGAGCACAGTAAATATGGGTCCATTTAAAATTGTATGAAAATGTTTGCTTTAAACAACCTTTCTGGAATGGAAAATGTCAAATTGTTGAACGTGTTTTTCCTTTTCCTTTTTTTTTTTTTTTTTTTTTTTTTAGGAGAATGGTGTTGACCACTTGTATTCTGAGAGCCTGCCACAGTCCAGGTTTGCTTTTTTGTAATGTGCATTTGAAGGTACATTTGGTTAATTTTTAAGGAACTCTTTGGACTTGACACTCCAAAATATTTCCTCTACTCTTGACAGGGAATGTTCCACACTGTCATCTCCTGGACATACTTTGTCCACAGAGAGTACTATAACTTCAAGTGGTGAGTGAACTTAGAAAACATATAAAAATAGAGTATTAGTATTATAACTATAAGCTTGGTTTCTATGGCCTGCTGAGGTGAATGCAAGTGAAAACAACATAGGCAAATAACTTTTTTGCATGGTGTTCATGCTGTTAGTTTCTTCCTGTTGATAGATTCTGGGTCAGAAATTTTGAATATGGCTTCTGGTGACCTTGACTGTAAATCACTCTGTGAGAAAGAGGAAGATACAAGATCAGCTTCTGGTATGATAAAGATCACAGGTAAGCTATTGAAGTATTCAAATATAGTTTCCATTCCAAAGCAGTAAGTAAACCTGTAAGCTACTGGAGCAACTATCTTCATAGTTCAGTAACATTTTATTTAAAAAAGAAATTGAAGATCTACTCAGGGAAAAGAAGTCCGAGAGGTAATCGTGGCCTTCATATATGCTAGTGTTGCCATTTTCCCCCAAGTTCTATGGAAAGAACAAAAATTACAATATATTTTAATAGGACTTAAATATTTCCTAATGACAAAGATTGACTGGCTACAACTGGGTTTCTACTGTGGCTTAGGTGTAGAATCACTTGCTTAGGAAATTCTCAGAATCTTGGGGCACCTGGGTGGCTCAGTGGGTTAAGTGTCTGACTCTTGATTTTGGCTTAGGTAATGATCTCAGTGTCATGAGATCAAACCCCGCACCAGGCTCTGCCCTGAGCATGGAGCCTGATTAAGAGTCTCTCTTCTTTCCCCACCTCTTCTTCTGCTTTTCTGCCCTTCCACTTGTGCTCATGTGCATGCTTTCTCCTCCCCACCCCACCCCCCAAATTCTCAGAATCCTAATTAGATTCTGCTTAGTTAAAAGAATGGGCCAATTCGTGATGGTCCACTCAGGGGGCAAAAGAATTAACTAGATAAAATGTTCCATCCTTTTTTGCTCCTTGAGTCTGACAACAGGTAGTTACTCTCAACCATTCCCAGTGAGACATCACACAGTGAATACTGATGGGAAGTGCATAGGCTCCCGTACACACACACACACACACACACACACACACACACACAATAAATCAGTCAAGGAAAATTCATTCTTAAGTTGAGATATAGATGCTAGACTAAAGGAGTTGTGAAATCGTAGAGATAGAATCCATTCTTTATTTTAACTGAAGAATATCTTCATACTTTAGCTCAGACTGAATAAGATAAATTTTATTTATTTATTTTTTAAATTTTATTTATTTATTTGACAGAGATCACAAGTAGGCAGAGAGGCAGGCAGAGAGAGAGGGGGAAGCAGGTTCCCTGCTGAGCAGAGAGCCTGATGCAGGGCTTGATCCCAGGACCCTGGGACCATGACCTGCTGAAAGGAGAGGGTTTAACCCACTGAGCCACCCAGGCGCCCCATGAATAAGAGAAATTTTAATTAGAACTACACAAGATAGCATTTTTCACCAGTCATGTAGACAAAGATACAAAACTTTGATTACACTCTATTGGTTAGCTTGTAGGGCAAAAAAGGAAATCTCATACATTTCTGTAGGGAATGTAAATTATTATAATTAATATGGAGGAGAATTTGCCAATATCTACCAAAATGTTAAATATACATATCCTGTGATAAAACAGTTTAGTTTCTGGGACTTTATCCTATAGATCTAAATACTCACATGACTTGTAGAAGTTTCTTTACTACAGTATTTTCTATAATAACAAAACACTGGAGACAAGTTAATTATCAAAAGAAGCCTAGTTAATATATATTGGTATCTCCATGTAATGGAATACTAATATACATCCATAAAATGTATGTAAGGAAATTTTCTTAGAAGGATATCAAAGAATTATTGTCTCTTAAAAAAAAAAACCCAAATGCAAAAAATTATATATTGCCTATAAAAATCTGTGGGAAAATAAAAAGGATAAGAAGTTTTTATGTATGCATAAAGTATTTCTGAAAGGCTAGACAAAAATTAAATAACATCGTTTATGGAGAGAGAAAGTAAGTTTCTTATAGGCATGGATGGGAGGGAAAATTTTTACCATAAAACATTTTACACTCTAAAATTTATGGACCATATGAATCTATCTGTCTTAAAAGTTAACAAGAAATTAAAGTTTTCATTGGGAAAAGGCATTTTATCTCTGAAGAAAGTGGTTACCATTTTCTTAATTCCCTATAAATTTTAAAAATATACATACTTGAACTATTTCTTTTTCTTAAAAAGAAACAAAACCTATTTATAGCTGCTGACCTTTGTGCCTGTACTGAACTAAATTCAAGACAATGGATCATGTAAAGAGGAAAATCATTATCAAGTACATTGCAGTACAAATAAAGTACACGAAAATAAAGGGAAATTACAGAGAAGAATGGCATAAACCAGAAGTACCTATGTTTCTTTGATGACTTTTTTTTAGAAAGATACCATGCTTTGGAAGGGTATCATATTTGGTTATCAGCCTTACATCTGTAATTAAAAAAAAACCTGTTTTGCAAGCTGATTGTTCATCCTTCCTTCATCCAACTTCTGTAAATATACTAGTAATGTGTTTGATTTAAAAAAGCAGCAGCAGCCTTAAGAAAGATTTTAAAAATTATTACTTGAAGGGCTATTTATACAGATACTCATTTCTATTAAGAAATCTTAAATGGCTAGCTTCCTTGGAAACCTTAGCTATTCTAGTCCTGATTTTTAGTCCATGGGCACCTTTAAAAATTTTTGATACATAATTTGTCTTGCATGTTAAGGTCTTTGACATTTTCTAGTCTGTTCATATTGTCACCCTCACTATTTCCTTCTCTTTTATTTGTCACTGCTCGGGTAACTGTTTAGTGTGTTCCCTTTTTCTCACAGGCAAAAGTGCATCTCCTGAGAATATTGCACTGCAAGGCTCTGTGAGTGAGGACAAAACCATGTTAAATCTGGTAAGGAAATATATGTATGTTAACAGTAAAGGTAATGATATATTACAGCAGTAGAACTGTCCCTTTAAGTTTGCAGAATACTCTTAAAAGCACTATCTCATCCTTCTAAAATATTATGAAGTTAATAGAATTTAATTACTCTAATGTTTTATAGACAAGAAAGTTGGTGCCAAAGAGTCCTTGTGACATGTTCAAGGTCTCACAGTAAAGTCAGAGCTAGGACCTCCTGACTTCACATTATTTTTTCATTCACTCATTCACTCATTTATTCATCAAAGGTCTCCTGGAAGCAAGGTCAGTATCTATCAATAGAGGACTTTTAAGTAAACAACGGTGTTAATAAATAAGGTTAAATAAAGCAGTGATATTTACCTTAAAGATATGTTCTAGTTAAGAGAACGTGTTCTAATTAAGGGAAGAAACATACCAGTTACTCAGTAATATATAATTTCTCAGTATGGTTAGTGATATAAAAGAAAAATGTTTGGGGTAAGAGCCCAGACAAGTCTCATGGAGGAGGTACTTTGTGAATGGTATTGATGCTATCCAGGCACTTGGAAAACTGCTTTAAACATTTAAATGTTTATAGAAAAAGTTAAGTTCCTTTCCTTGAAGAGAAGGTGCATTGTCACTTGTATGAATTTATAATTATTGAGAAGTAACTAGTAGACTATGGATCCAATTCCATGTTTCTTCAGGGTCTTGTTTATGTATCAGTGCCTCTCTGTTAAAAAGGGATCATTATTATTAGTACTAGTAGTAGTAGCAGTATCATTGGGGTGTGTGTGTGTGTGTGTTGTTGTTTTCCCCTCAGTGTATAAATATCGCTTTAGTGAGGCACATTTGGTTTTAAGAAACAGAGACTCATGAAAGCTAACTCAAGTTATGAGAGGTGGTTGTGGCATAGATACATTTGAGGCAATAGGGTAGATAAAAATTTTATACTATTCTAGTCTGAATGGAGTGGAATGATTGGGTATATGATTTGGAAATTGTTCCTTGTAGTATCAAGCATATAGAGTGTTGTGTTGGCCAGTAAGTGTGCCGAAAGTGGTTGCCCTTTATAAAACACAGAGGAATATCTGGGTTCCTCTAATTGTTCATGGTAGTCTTTTGAGAAAAAGAATTTCTTCCCATCTCAAAACAAGATAGAAATAAAGAAACTTAAAAATAATGGGTTAGAAAATGTAGTAATGGAGATGCGGTACTGGTTAGGATACTATCGCAACAATTCAGGCAAGGCATGAAGATACTATGAATTTATTCTGGATGGAGAAAAGAATAATTTGGGAGAGATTGAGGGGACAGAATTTATAGTACATGGTAACTGATAACTATGATGGGGGTTGGGGATGCATGGGAAAATGTTAAAACTTGGGCTTTTATGGCTTATCCTACAGAATGAATGGAATATCATGAGAATAGGGAGGAAGTAAGAAGAGTAGAATTTGGGGGTAAAATAAGATCAGTTTAAGTTTCAGGTTGATATGAGACATCAGCACTCTGGAAGGTTCTATAGATAGCTACATAACTATATTCATAAACTCATTCCTAGGACTTTTAGGAGCAGACACACATTTGTGAGCTATCAGCAAAAAAACAAGTACGTGAATGAGATTTCCCAAGGATGCTGGTAGTCAGGAAGAGCGCACTGGAAATAATGGACTCTTGTTGATTTCATTATCTAACAAAAGAAGGCAATGGCATAGGAAACTCAGAAGGAGCTACTATAGCGATGGGAGGACATCAGGAGGTGACAACCAAGAAAAGAAAAATCTTCAAGGAGGAGAGGATTCTAGATCATTTTAGATGCTACAGTGAAGTCAAATAAGATAAAGTCTGAAATTTTTCCATTGAATTTGGCAATAGAGAGTTCACGGATAACTGGAGAGGGAGGTTTTTCTTGGAGTATTGGGTACAGGGACAGAAGAAAACCAAAAAACTGGAAACAGCAACCATGGACAATTCTTTCGAGAAGAATCATGGCCTTAAAAGATAGGATTGGAAGAAGATGCCATATCTGGAAGAGGTCAGAGTGTTGAAGGAGGATTCAGTAAACTTAAGAATATTTAAATGTTGATAAAGAATGATGCAGTGTTTTACTTGTATTACTGCATTTGTTACATTTTTCAAAAATTGTACCTTCAATGCTCTAAAAATTACATGACATATATCAATGGCTCTACCAAGGAAATTTGTCTTAGACGTGTTTTTCAGGAAAAAATTTCTAAGAATGTTGAAAATTATCACCATAAAAATGATTTTATACCTATTATTTTTTCATTTATCTCAGGCAGTATAGTATAACCCTCTTATTATAGATAGATAAGATAGATAAATTTGTAGAATAGTTGGTCAGCAACCTTAAAATGTATTTATATGGAGTAAAAGCCTAACATAACATACCTGCAATTTTTGCCACAAGTCCCCCAAGAGCCCATCTAGAAAGCGAGGTGTGATGGTCCTAGATCACCCCTACCTCTTTATCCAGCCAGTCCTCCCACTCCATCAAGCTCCAGCATGTTCCTTGTCTGTAGAGACTTTCCCTGCTTCTCAAGCCATGGTGTCTCTCCCCTCCCTTTGTAGAGCCCTTACTTACTCACATCTCATTTATTTGGCAATCAATCCTACTTTGCCTTACGGTAACTTGTATCACATTTATAGCTGTTCATATGTTTCCCTTTTGTACCTCAACTAGATTGGAAACCCCCTTAGAGCCAGTCCTGCTTTCTTCTTTAACCTCTAGTTCAGTTCTTTGAATACCATAGTGTTTTTGATAGAGTAGGGTTAGGAGAGGACAGGAAGTTGGAACATGATTGGTTATGAAGGATTTCCACTCTACCTACAGCAATAAAATCTCTTTATGATTTTAGGAAGCAAAAGAGGAACCAGTAACAATAGATGAGCATAGAAAACAATGTGCTGCAAGAGGTAAGGAATGTTCTCTTCTAACCCCCATGAGAACTTTTGTTCCTGCTTATATTTTTATGAGTGAAATCTTTCTGAGTAAAGATATGATACCTATAATTATGCATCTCTAGGTAAAATCAGTCAATAAAATTGATTCTTGATTCAATTTATATCATTTTTGAAAAGCCACATTTATGTTGCATTAACTATTAAGTCCCAAGGACTTGTAATAACTCCTGTGTTATTATGAACAAAGAACCATGCCAATGTTGGTAGCAAATTCTAAGCTCTACTTTGAGATCTTTTTAATGATCTGATCTGAAAGTAAATAATATTTTAAAGAATAAGTGCTAGTACGCTTCCCTCTCCATTCCACCTCCATTAGGATGGAGTAGTGGATAGAGTTGGGACTTTGAAGTCACCCAGACTATATTGGGTGACTCTCTGACTAGGTATGACTTCAGAAGGTTATTTAACCTGAGTGTCAACTTCATCTGCGAAATGGAAAGGATGAGTTTAAAAAATTAACCTTTTTTGAGAATATATCATATGCTAAGTTCTAGACTAAATTCCCATTTTATAAAGATTTTATTTATTTGACCTAGAGAGAGAACACAAGCATGGGGAGCAGCAGGCAGAGGGAGAGAGAGAAGCAGACTCCTTGCTGAGCAGGGACCTCGCCCCAACCCCCACCGATGCAGGGATCGATCCCAGGACCCTGAGATCATGACCAGAGCCAAAGGCAGACATTTAACCAACTGAGCCACCTGGGTGCCCCTAAATTATGGACATAATTTAATTCGTTCCCCCAAATACCTATGGAAGGTAAATTGCAATTCAATTTCCTAGCCTGTGGACTGTAGATGATAACAGTACCCAACACAGGTTTGCTCTGAGGATTGAATAAATTAGGTATAAAGCAGTTAGAAAAGATGCTTGGCAAAGTTCTCTAAAAGCTACTATAAAAAAATAATATCATCCTTGTTTTGTAGGTGGTTTGATGAAGCTGTGACTTGTTCCAGTTCACAAAGCTATAAGAGTCAAAGCTGGGACTTATATCAGTTTTTTTTTTTTTTTTAACTCTAATACTCTTAATAACTAATATATTGTCCTCTTTGTGAAGTTGTCATGAAGAGTATCATTAATATGTATACAGAGTCCTGTTTGGGGACTGGCGTGTAGTAAACTTGTGACAAATGGGTGATGCCATGCTTACTATTGCTGTCATTGTTACTGTTATTATACTGTACTACGACCATTACTCTTACTACTACAATGACTCTTCCTCCTGCTGCGGCTGTTCAAGCCTTGGTCTGAAGAAGGACTAGGGTAACAGAAGAAGGTATGCATTTAGCCCTGAGATCAAGTCAGATAGACATTCAAATGCAGAGAGAGCAACTGGGCTCTTCCTGGACCCAGATATTTTCAGGTTTCAGACTCTTCACATGCTGACGTGTGAGCCAATGATTTTAATGTCCTTGTGATCCCAGTAGCATAGCATAATGTTATCTTATATTGAAGCAAATGCATTATTTTGTTTACAAGAGTTTATTTATGTATTTGAGAAAGAGCCAGAGAGACAGCACAAGTAAGGGGAGCAGCAGAGGGAGAAGGAGAAACAGGCTCCCTTCTCAATAGGGCTCCAGCCCAGGACCCTGAGATTGTGACCCAAGCCGGGGGCAGACACTTAAGTGACTGAGCTACCCAGGCATTCTGAAGCAAGTTATGTTATTACCTGGCTATTATTTCAGACATTCTTCAAGGAAATGCCTTTGTGTCATGGAGAGAGGACATTTGATTGAATGTGCCTTCAGCCAGGAACCTTTGTAACCCAATACTATTTTATTATCTTTTAATAGACACTGCTGTTTCCTCTCTTCCTGTAACCACTGTGAAATCCGTTAACTTTAGACAAAGTGACAAGTAAGTTCTTCACATGGCATGTTCACAGTTTTTGCTTTTCTGTTGAATTATGCTGGAATAAATTTTTTTGTCTTTTCCTACAGCACTTCTGCTAATGAGAAGGAGGTGGAGGTGAGTTTTTTCCCTTTAAGTTAAAAAAAAAAAAAGAGAGAAAAAAATGTTTCTGACCCCCTTGTCTATCATCACTCTATACTTTTACCCAAGCTGTATCTGGTGTCTGGGTGGCTTGGCAGTGACTAAGCGCAGGGAAAGCCGAGGCATGCCAGCGTTATGTTGCTGGGAGGAAAAAGAATGACTCTTCATAATCTGGTATTAAACTGAAATATTTCCCTACAACCAGTTTTCTCCCCATCACCCGCACATTATTTTGATGACAGGCCGAATTTCTCAGATTATCTTTGGGATTTAAGTGTGACTGGTTCACCCTGGAGAAAAGAGTGAAGCTTGAAGAAAGATCCCGAGACTTGGCAGAAGAAAATTTGAAGAAAGAAATCACTGACTGTTTAAAGCTCTTAGAGGTGAGAATCCTAACATTTGGGAACTCCACATGTGATGATCCTATTGTTAATAATGTTTTCAAAATTAGATACAAGTTTACTTGTGTGACTAAAAACGACAACAGGTGCCAAGCCCTGCCTGACTCCAATGTAAATTAATAGGAAGTAAGAATTCAGGATCAGGCTAAAATAAATGATTCACTAGTAAAACCAATGCCTTTTAAAGTCATTGTGAGTCACCTGCCTTCTATGGACGTTCAAATAGGTTTGAGGCAGAACAGTCATCATGCAGGAAACTGAGCAATAGGAGATTATGTCAATTTTAAGCTTCAAAGATGAGAATCAAAAGTCTATTTCTATTTAATTAACTGAAAAAAGACAATGGTGATTGATTTTAGTCTTGTCAGATGATTGGCAAGCCCTCTCTAGGTACGCAGATAACAACCACTATTTTTCCATTTTGTGAAATCACCATAAATATAGAGGTGGGTTGGAAAATTAAGAGGGTTATTTTTGGAAAGAAATAAAACTTGAGAAACCATATTCTTTTTTTTATTGTTGTAAAAAACATGTAACATCAAATTTACCATATTAACCATCTTAAGTGAACCATTCGGGTAGTGTTAAGTATGTTCACGTTGCTGTAAAACAGATCTCCAGAACTTTTCTGTCTTACATACTGAAACTCTGTACCCATTAAACCACCCCCGTTTTCTCCTCCTATCGCCTGGTCACCATTTTGTTTTCTGTTTCTATGAATCTGACGACTTCAGATACTTCATAGAAGTAAAAAATCATACAGCATTTGTCTGTTTTGAGCAATCTCATGGCCCTGAGATCACAACCTGAGCTGAAACCAAGAGTCGGATGCTTAACTGACTGTGCCACCCAGGCACCCTCTACTTTTCCTTTTTTAAATGCTATAAAGTTGATGGTGTTTTAGATTCGGGCAAGTCTTAGAAATTTTCTCTCAGCTAATAAGCAGTGGCTTGTTTGCTTCCGAAACTGCTGTCCTCTTAATTCTGTCTCCACCCTAGTGGGAGGGATGGTTCTCCACCAGGAAGGCCATCATCTTGGATCAAGGGCACAGGTTTGAAAGAAATATTCATAAGGCAGTGAAGGCCTACCCCGCATCTAGCCAGATCAGTAATGCTTTGTCATCAGTGGACGAGCACATAGCATAGTCAGAGCCATACCTACATCTAGTATGTTTTCTCTACTTAAAAGTTCAAACCATGCTCTTCATATAATACATTCAACTCATTCATAAGCATAATTTCTTTGCCATCACCAATTAAGTATGTCCCATTCTGTTAATTACGGAAAATGATACACATATGTATGAAGAAATGGCAAATTTGGGAAGGAAGGAAGGAAGGAAGAGATTGAGATTAGATATAAAAGGTTTTGGGAACATTTGCATAGGTCTGCTTGATGGCAACAAAGATATTAATATTTCAGTATCATTCATTATTGGTCATTGTTACTTTTCACTTTATACCAAGATAATTGGGATGTGACTGTCCTCTCTATTTACAACATAGTCATTGTTGGAATCACTTGCTGAATACTTGGGTTGGATATATTTTAATACTTTGCTTTCTGTGCAGTCTTTAACACCACTTTGTGAAGATGACAACCATGCCCAGGAAATAGTTAAGAAGCTGGAGAAGAGTATAACACTTCTTAGTCAGTGCACTGCACGAGTGGCCAGTAAGGCTGAGATGCTGGGAGCCATTAATCAGGTAATCTGCCTTCATTTCTGTAGCTCAATGAAATTCCTAGAAGGATTTGTTTTCCCTGAAATCATGGATTACATTTCTAAGAAAAAGTTTAAAAAAAAAAAACTTCTGTGTTACCTAAGATGTACGTGTTTAATATAAAGTGGAATATGCAAATAAAATGCAAAAAACGCCCTCTCTTAATTGCATTAGCCAGTGACAGTCATCCAAATAATCTCTTCCAAATACCAGTTTCATACTTTCTCCTTTCTTTTCAAACCGTCATCATGTCCTTTCCCATCTTTTCTGTCAGATAATGACTACTTCCTGCCTCAATGAAAGCACTGAGTCGTTCGGAAGGAATGGCCGCAGGTTCCAAACCTAATAACATCTGAGCCCTCATACTTTTCCTCCCTTCCCAGTACAAAATATGAGTTGTCTCTAATCCTGTCTAAGGCTAAGCATCTTGCCTATATACCAGAACCCATTCCTCCTAATTTACTCAGAATTTTAGACTCAGGTTCTCCCTACTTTCCTCCATCTTCACTTTTCGCCACTATATTGAATCATTCCCATGAACACAAAAATATGCTGTTTTTAAGATGGGAAAGATAACATAAACACAAAATAGTCTTTGACCTTTTCTACTCTTTCTCTGCTCCCATTTATAGCAAATTTCCTCAACAGAATTGTACTCACTGTCTCCAATTTCTCTCCTCCCAGTTGTTGTGCAAACTGTAAATGGTCTTAACCTACTCATTTTCCTTAGCTGATCTGCTACATTCAGCATGTCTGAGCTCTTTCTCCTCCTGGAAACACTCTCCTCACTTGGCTTCCAGGTCCCACATTCTCTTGTTTTTTCTCTCAACATCACGGGTCACTCCCTTCCAGGCTCCTGTATGGGTCCCACCATTCTCCCTGGCTTCATAATATCAAGGGTTTCACCCTTGTACAAGTGATGTCCATCTTCCTTCAGTCCCCACACCATTCTGTGTGGTCAGTTGATGACTCCCAAATTCACGTGCTTGTCCTAAACCTTTGCCATGAATTCTACACTAGAATATACTACTATGGATGCAGCATTTCCACTTGGATATTGGACAAACTAATCAAACAACACATACAAAAGTGAACTGCTTAGTATCTCCAAAACCCATTCTATACATAATCTTACCTCTGTCAAAGTTGATCAGATTGACAATCCTTGGGAGTAATTTTCAACAATTTTCTCTTACACTTTACCTCTAATTACACTTTACCTCTAATCCTGCAGGAAATTGTAATGACTCTAACAGAATAAATCCTATTTACCATCAGAATTCAACTACTTCTTTCCTTCTCCACTGCTACCACCTTGATCTAAGCTACCATTCTATTTTTTGCAGATTAATACAATATCCTCCTAAATGGTCTCCATTTCCATTCAAACCCAGTACTCCCTGAAACATAGTCTGTTCTCCATAAAGCAGCCAGAATAATCCTTCTAAAATGTAAGCTAGATCATGTTTCTTTTTTTGTTTAAAGTCCTCTGGTGGCTTCCTCACTTTTTTTCAGAATAAACTCTGAATACTTATGATGGCTTAAAAAAATCTACACCATTCCCATACCCTCTTACCCTATGAAATTTATGTCCTATGATAATCTTCCTGCATTATTGCATTCCAGCCAGACTGGTCTCCTTTCTGTTCATGAAACATGGGAGTAAAAATGTAGTTTGTTTAGAATGTGTTCAAACTTAAATGACCATCAACTTAACATAGACTCCTATGTACTTACAATGTTATGTATGACTTTCATGGTAACCACAGACCAAAAACCTATAATAGATACACAAAAAATAAAGAGAAAGGAATCATAACACTAAAGAAAGTCATCAATCACAAGGGAAGAGAGCAAGCGAAGAAGAAAGGAGGACAGAAGAACTATAAAACAACCAGAAAACAATTAACCAAGTGGCAATAAGTACACATGTAACAATCATTATTTTAAATGCAAATAGTCTAAATGCGTTAATAAAAAGACATAGGATGACCGAAAGACTAAAAAAAAACCAGTACCCCTCTATATGCTGCCTACAGAAGACTCAATTCAGAGTGAAAGACACATAGAGAGGAAAGTGAAGGGATGGAAAAAAAAATATGCAAATGGAAATGAAAAAAGTTGGGGTGGCAATACTATATCAGACAAAATAGGCTTTGTCTTTAGACAAAATAGACTTTTAAACAGAAACTGTAACAAGAGACAAAGAAGAGCATTACATGATGACATTGGGATCAATCCAACAAGAGGATATAAAATTGTAAATCTCTGTGCACCCAACATAGAAGCACCTAAATACATTAAGCCAATATTAACAGACATGAAGGGAGACATTGACAGTGGTACAGTAATAATAGGGGACTTTAATGCTCCACTCACATCAACAGATAGATCACCCAGTCAGAAAATCAATAAGGAAATAGTAGTTTTGAACAAGACATTAGATCAGATGGATTTACACAATATTCCATCCCAAACTAGCAGAATGCACATTCTTTCCACAAGTGCACGTGGAAGTTTAGATCAGGTTAGATCACGTTAAGCAAAAAACAAACAAAAAAAGAAAACAAAACAAAAAAAAAACACCAAAACTCAATAAATTTATAAGATTGAAATCGCATCAAGCATCTTTTCTAAGCACAGCAATGTGAAACCAGAAATCAATTACAAGAAAAAACTTAAAAAGATAAAAACACTTGGGAGGCTAAACAACATGCTACTGACCAACCAGCAGGCAAAGAAATCAAAGAGGACATTATAAAGACCGAAGAAAATGAAAACACAGTCGTGTAAAATCTTTGGGATGTAGAAAAAGCAGGTCTAAGAAGGAATTTTAGAGTTTATACAGGCCTACCTCAAGAACCGAGAAAAGTCTCAAACAATCTAGTCTTATACCTAAAGGAACTAGAAAAAGAGCAAAGCCCAACATTAGTAGAAGGAAGGAAACAATAAAGATCAGAGAAGAAATAAATGATATAGATGAATGAAGCCAAGAGATGTTTCTTTGAAAAGATAAGAATTGGTAAGCCTTTAGCTAGACTTATTAAGATAAAAAGAGAGGCTCAAACACGGGGAAGAGAAGAAATAACAACTGACATCACAAAAATACAAAGGACTATAAGAGACTACTATAAAATATTATATTCCAACAAATTGGACAACATAGGCGAATGGATAAATTTCTAGAAACATACAGTCTTCTAAAACTTAATCAGGAAGACGTAGAAAATCTGAACAGAAGGATGTAATGAAATTGAATCAGTGAAGAAACAATAAATGTAAAAGGTAAGCTTTGGAATAGGAAAAGATATTTACAAATGACATATCTGATAAAGGGTTAGTATCCAAAATTTATAATGAACTTTTATCAAACTCAATACCCAAAAAACAAATAATCCAGGTGAGAAATGGGCAGAAGACACATTTTTTCCAAAGAATACATCAGTTGGCCAACAGATAAAAGATGCTCAGCATCATACATCATCAGGAAAATAAAAATCAAAATTGCAATGAGAGACCACCTCACACCTGTCCAAATGGCTAAAATTAACACAGGAAACAACAGATGTTGGGGAGGATACAGAGAAGGGGAAATCTTTTTATACTGCTGGTGGGAATGCAAGCTGGGGCAGTCACTCTGGAAAACAGTATGGAGGCTCCTCAAGAATTTAAAAATATAGCTGCCCTATCACCCAGCAATTGCACTATTATTTACCTAAAGGATACAAAAATACAAATTTGGAGGGGTACGTGCACCTGGCGTTTATAGCTGCATTATCAGCAATAGCTAAATTATGGAAAAAGCGTAATATCCATTGACTAATGAATGGGTAAAGATGATATGGGGTGTGTGTGTGTGTGTGTGTAGTGGAATATTAGCCATAAAAAAGTGAAATCTTGTCATTTGCAACAAAGTAGGTGGAGCTAGAGTGTATTGTGCTAAGCAAAGTAAGTCAGTGAAAAGCAAATACCATATGATTTCATTGATACGTGGATTTTTAAGAAACAAAGCAGATTAACATAGAGGATAGAAGAAAAAAAAAGGGGGGCAAACCATAAAGGAGACTCTTAATTATAGAGAACAAACTGAGGGTTCCTGGAGGGGAGGTTCGTGGGCAGGGGGTGGAGTAAATGGGTGATGGGTATTAAAGAGGGCACTTGTGTGAACACTAGGTGTTGTATGCTAGGTGATGAATCACTAAATTCTACTCCTGAAACCAATATTACATTATATGTTAACTAAAATTTGGTTTATTGATTGTTTTAGACCCTGAATGGATATAAACTGGCAAAATACGTTCTTGAGTTCTAGAGATTGTTTTGAATTATTTCCTTTTCCGCATATTGGATAATTTTCTTTGCTTTCTGAGTTCCTGTTGTCTGTTGGATCTCCTGAACAGGTTCTTTTTCATCTCTTTTCTAGCCTTCAGTGTTTTTTGTTTTTTGTTTTTGTTTTTCTCCTCCTAGTTTCAGGGAGATTTCCCCAACCTTACCTTGAAACTATTTTATTGAGTTATGTATTTTTAATATATTTTTAATTCCCAGATTCTTTTTATTCTTAGCATGTAGCTTTTTTATCTTGTTCTTATTTCATGGATGTAACACTTACTCTTAACTCTCTGAAGATACTGCAGGTTCCCTTGAAGCTTTTCTGTAGTTGATCTCCTCCACCTTGCTTTTTTTTCTGTGTTGATTTTCCTCTTTCACAGAAGCAGCTTTCCTCTGACTAGTTATGATCCCCTAGGTAGTGGAATGAGGACTGCACGTTGGGTGAGGAGGGTTCTTACTGGCTCTGAGCTTCACACAACTTGAGATGTTTCACTGGGATATCCTTGGTGTCAGGAGTTTTAAGACTTTTATCTTGCTACATTAGAGTCCTCAGAGGAAAATCTTCCAACTGCCTGCTTTCTGAGCCTAAGCCTGGCTACCAGTGTTTGCAAGTTGGAAGGAGAAAACAGGCTAGGAGTTTCAGTATTCAATATGTATACAGACTTTTGCCTAAATCTGTTTTCTGTATGATCTGTTCACCATCAGCTGTTACTGCCTAATCCACAGGCTCTTTCTCTCTCTCTAGATATTCAGTGTTTAGTCTTTCAGCAAAATGGGGAAGGAAAGTTGCTCAGTTGGCCCAAATAAGGGAGATCTGCAGATCTCGTCACTTTTTCTGCAGGTTTTCCACCATTTCTTCTGTTCCCCTATCTGTCTTCACACTGAATTCCAGAGACACCACTAATTCCTGAGCCTGAATGGTTTTCTGTGGTGCAGCCCAGGTTGCTCGTAGGCTTTTCCTACTCTTTTTTAGGGTTCAGCTTTTTCAGATCTTGGTCATTCTCCACTAGTCCTTCTACTAACTAACCTTCAGAATTTCATTTTACCCTCTTCTGTTCTTTTTGTCCTGTGTCGTCTTTAAAAAACAAACTAACTAAAAACCTTCATTGTCATTTTAGTGAGATTTGGGGATGGAGTGAAGATAGATGTGTCTAATCATTTTTAAACTAGATATCAAGAACAATATTTTCAATGTAGATTTGTTCTTTTTCTTTTTTTTCCTACTAGGAAAGCCGGGTTAGTAAAGCAGTGGAAGTGATGATTCAGCATGTAGAAAACCTGAAGAGAATGTATGCCAAAGAGCATGCTGAGTTAGAAGAACTGAAACAGGTTCTTTTGCAAAATGAAAGGTCTTTTAACCCTCTCGAAGATGAAGGTAATAAAAGCTTAATAGACTCGGTTATGTTTTTCTGAGAGTCTCCTCTTTCATTCTCTTTCTTGTTAATTCTTATTACGTCTTTAGTATAAAACACTTAAGGCTATGTTAGAATAATAATTCATTCCTTCTGTTTATACAAAGTATATGTTAAGTTAGAAAGTAAAGTAAATGTAAAGTAAAATGTTAAGTTAGAAACAGGTTGGGACACACAGAGGACTCTTTGGTAATGACTCCAAAAATTCATTAAATTAGATTGCTGAGATGAGAATATATTTCATCCAACCCATTGAGTTGCCTCTAATGTTCTCCTACTTAGGGTTTGTTAGATTTGGCTCTTTCTCCACACACAAAGCAAAGCCCAGTAAGTTAAACGAGCCACTCTCATCAACAATGATTTTCTATTTCTTGAAGAAGGAATGACTCTGGCATAGTAAGCTGGCAGATGGATTGGAAAATAAGGAGACATCTGAGACCATGGAAAATGCCTTAAAATATAGGGTTTATATAAATCTTATAATAGTTTTATTTTAAATAATGTGAACTTTTCTGAGAACTATTTTAATGACTCCCTTTTCTAGGAAAAGTAATCATATTTGATAACCTTCTGATCTGTAGTTTGGGATTCATTTATTCAGTATGTATTCATTTAGCATCTCCTATGTGCTAGCTAAGCATTGCGGACGTGGACAGTGACAGAGGACAGTATTCCATCAGTTAAGATGGAAACTGTTACGAATCACCAAATGATAACCAGGTATTTTTACCGTTTGGTAGTCTCTAGGGTCTTAAATATTTCTATTGCTTTTCTTTGTAAAGAATTAAGACCATTGCAATAAATTGCTTGTGTAATTCCTCAAATGTGCAAATGTGTTTTTCCTTTCAGATGACTGCCAAATTAAAAAACGTTCATCTTCTCTAAACTCCAAGGTAATTACCAGTTGACTTAACAGTCTATCAAATGTTTCGGATGAAATGGTCTTAAAATATTACTTGAAACAACATAGTTTTAAATGTAAATCATATGTATATTTATGTAGATCTGCATGTGTGTGTTTAAGCTTATGTATGTATGCTTTTATACTTTTTACTATATTTGTTCAGTTACACTTGTCTGGAAGCAAGGGGAAAGCCGGATAGTTTCTCTCTCATGTAAAACTTGAGTTGGAAATAGGCAGTCCAAATATGGTAGTGTGGTTTCACAGAATCCCGAGGACCTAGTCTCCTCTCGCCGCTTCACCACCCTCAGCCCTCTGCTTCCACTTCATGGTCTGAGGGGGCTCCATCAGTACAGGGAGGGACAAGTCCTGGTCATTACATCGAGTCACATTGTAAGAATAAAAACAAGTATTCCTTCTCCTTCTAATGACAATTCCTAGAAGTCCCAAATAACATTTCCTTGTCATTCTTGATTGAAAATGAGACTAGAAAATCCATTTGAATTCTGGGTTTTATATCTAACTGAAAATCAGGGAGTTCTTTACCAAATAGAAAGGGGGGAGTGGGATATTGAAAGTCAACCAGCAGTTTTTGCCAGTTCGAAAATTAGATTTCATAGAACTTTTGAGAGACTTTAAAATCATTCCATCCAAACCTCTCTCTCACAGATGAGGAAAATCACTTTCCCAGAAGTTAAGTGATTAGTTATGATCATGTAGTGACAGAACCATGGTAAGAACCCAAGTTTCTTGGATTGCAATTTGATATTCTTGATACTCAGCTAATCTACGAAATTAGGAATGGTGGTTTAAAAAAAAGATTCACCTTAAGCTTCTTCAGTTTATTTCCTACATTTAATATATTTTTTATTTCCTGAAGTTGTACTTAAACTTTAAGAATCACAGTGGTATGTAACATTTTCCCATGCACATCTGAGGCTGACAAACATATCCCTTATCAAAATATCACACCCATCTTTAAATGTCTTAAATGCAAAAAATGAAACCATGGAAAAAAAAAAAGCTAGAAAATAGGTACACATTTATCTCCTCTTGAGTTGAGAATACCACAGCATAAAAGAAATGACAGCAAAAGACAGACAGATTCGGCTGCATTAACAATGAAAAACTCCTGCCAGAATTATCATTAATAAAATTAATATGGGCAAAGATCATAGAGTTCCCAGAGCAGATATATACATGATTATTTGCATAACAAAGTGTTCAATGTCACCAGAAAACTAAATAAGAAACCTTATTTGGCAAAAATTATGCTCATCCAGTGTTGAAGAAGGTAGAATATTAATTGGCACAATATTTCTGAAAGGCAATTTGGACATAACCAAACTATGTCTACAGGTTAACTCAACAGTGGTCAAATGCAGGGATGTGTATGTACAAGGATATCCATTAGTGTTGTATCCAATGATAAAATACTAATAGTTTTCTAATGTACTTCTGCCCTCTTTGGGTAGCCATCTTCGCTCCGAAGGGTGACCATTGCCTCTTTGCCCAGAAATATTGGAAATGCAGGAATGGTAAGCAAGTTCCTAAGTGTTCTTCATCAAAAGCATATTCATTTTCATATAACAAAAACATAAACTTCACTAAATTCGTATTTCATTATTTCTCTGACATCTGAAATTTAAAGGTGGCTGGGATGGAAAATGACCGATTCGGTAGGCGATCAAGCAGCTGGTAAGTGTCATTTTCAGGTTGCTCTTTGGGAACCCTGCTGTTTTGTAATTGACTGAAGTAAATGCTGGCAATAAGTAATAAAGTGACACTTGATTTGCACAGAGTATATATGCACAATAATTATAAAATAGGTGTATAATCATGGAATTTTACTATGAAATATGTGAATGTGCCAACCAAAAATAGAACATAATTTTTGTAATAATTCAGGTAGTCGGAAATAAATTGACAATGGCTACAGATGTATATGACAAGTGGCTATAATCATCTTTACTTAGGCGTATTTTGGGGTCAAAGCAGAGTGAACATCGTCCCTCATTACATCGATTTATTAGCACCTACTCCTGGGCAGATGCTGAAGAAGAAAAATGTGAACTCAAGTAGGTAAAACTCGGGGTGTGTGTGTGTGTGTGTGTGTGTGTGTGTGTGTGTGCATCCATTCTGATGGCTGAGTAATTTCCTATTGTATAAATGGACCACATTTTCTTTATCCATTCATCTGCTGAAGGATATCTTAGCTCCTTCCACAGTTTGGCTATTGTGGACATTGCTGCTATGAACACTGGGGTGCACGTGCCCCTTCTTTTCACTATGTGTGTATCTTTGGGGTAAATACCTAGTAGTGCAATTGCTAGGTTGTAGGGTAGCTCTATTAACATCTTAAGGAACCTCCACACTGTTTTTCAGAGTGGCTGTTCCAGCTTGCATTCCCACCAACAGTGTAGGAGAGTTCTCTTTTCTCCATATCCTAGCCAACATGTGTTGGTTCCTGTTTTGTTTTTTCCATTCTAACTGGTATAAGGTGGTATCTCATTGTGGTTTTGATTTGTATTTCCCACTGGCTAGTGATGTGGAACATTTTTTCATGTGTCTGTTAGCTATTTGTATATTTTTTTTGGAGAAGTGTCTGTTCACGGTATAAAGATGAGTAAGATGTAATGCCTATCCTCAGGTTTTATGTTTCTTTTTAAAATAATCCTAGGAGGGATGCCTGGGTGGTTCAGTCAGTTAGGCATCTGCCTTCGGCTCGGGTCATGATCCTGGGGTCCTGGGATAGAGCCCCGTATCGGGCTCCCTGCTCAGCAGGGAGTCTAGTTCTCCCTCTGTCTGCCGGTTCCCCTGATTGTGCTCACTCTTGCTCTGGCAAATGAATAAATAAAATCTTAAAAAATAAATAAATGAGATGAAAGAATCCTGGGAGCCTACTACATGTGTTGAAATCCCTTTTCAGATTTAGAGTTAACATAATGGATTTTTCTGATCTGGGTTAAAGATCGATTTTCTTCAAAAGATTATAGTCTATTTTTTGCTCTTGGTTAATACGGCATGATTTCTACTGAGAAGTCTTAGCAAACAAAAAACTGAAGTCTTGAGAATCTTACAAGAATTCAGGATTTGGGGTTTTTAAAGATTTTATGTATTTATTTTTAAGAGAGCAGGCAAGCAGGAGGAGGAGCAGAGGGAGAGGAAAAAGCCGACTCCCACTGAGCATGGAGCCCAATGTGGGGCTCAATCCCACGACCCCAAGATCATGTCCTGAACCAAAATCAAGAGTAGACATTAAAACCAACTGTGTCACGCAGGTACCCTGGGCCAGGTTTCCTTTAAAAACTAAAACCAGCCACATACATTCCCTGTAGATGTCCAAGAAGAGGAAAAAAAAAAAAAATGACTTTCAGAAACATTTGCCTTTGGTAATAGTGAGAGCATTATGAGCTTGGAATTTCAAAATTCAAGTCCAGCTAGGAATTCATCAGTAAACATGATAATGAAACAAGTTCTGTGCAGGTTAAAGGAATAACTCTTTAGACAATATGATTTTATTTAAAATATATTTGATCCAATTTCTATTTCCCAGCTCATTGAATACTTTTTTTTTAAATTTTTTATATACATATATTTTTTTTCCCCAGGGGTACAGGTCTGTGAATCGCCAGGTTTACACACTTCCCCACACTCATCATAGCACATACCCTCCCCAATGTCCATAATAACCCCATCCTCCCCAACCCCCCTCCCCCCAGCAACCCTCAGTTTGTTTTGTGAGATTAAGAGTCACTTATGGTTTATCTCCCTCCCAATCCCATCTTGCTTCATTTACTCTTCTCCTACCCCCTGAACCCCCCATGTTGCATCTCCTCTCCCTCATATCGGGGAGATCATATGATAGCTGTCTTTCTCCGATGTGGTATATATACACAATGGAATACTATGCAGCCATCAAAAGAAATGAAATCTTGCCATTTGCGACAACGTGGATGGAACTAGAGGGTATCATGCTTAGCGAAATAAGTCAATCCGTGAATAAACACTTTTAAAATTAAGATTTTTAAAGAAACAATGACACTTTGATGTTACTCCAGTTTAGCATAAAATCCACTGTTAATATATTATGTGGTAGAAGGAGAGAAATTTTACCATATGTTGAATAAAAACCAGAGGAAGAAATATTCGCCTTTGTTTTTTAAAGTATGGTTACTACACATAAGCAGAGAAAGAAATCACAGGTTAATAATACTGGTTAATTATTAGTGGTGATAATTGATCAACTTCTACATGTTCTACATGTACAAACATTTACATGTTTGTAAATGTCTCCTTTTTACTCATCCCCTGGCTAATACCCCAACTTCCTACAACATATTTTTCTAAATATAGCAAGTTTTTAAAATTAAATTCCTAGAAATAAAAATTTAGTGATTTGATTTTAGAATTATATATCAAATCTTTCTAAAGCAAAACAAATACTTGAGAGCCGCTTTAGTAATACAATAAAATTTGCAGTATTTTTATAAATCTGGTATATTATCCATACTTTCAAACATTTAAACTTAATACTTATTTATAGAACTAAAGATGACTCAGAACCACCTGGAGAAGAAATAGCAGAAAGGACAAGAAAGCCAAGTCTTTCTGAAAAGAGAAATAATCCGTCAAAATGGGATGGCTCTTCACTGTAAGTTGTCTGCTTGCTAATGATCCCATTTCTGTGGAATGGGGAAAGATGAGGCAGGGTTAACAGTATTAATCTTAGTCAAGATACTAAAAGACCTGTCAAATTGTTAAATTTAAGAGAAAAAACAAACTTCACATGGTCTACAGGAGTTATCCCTGAACTGGTGACAGGTCACAGTGTTAGGAACTTGGTTCTGGAGCCAGATGGCCTAAGGCAAGTTCATCTACTTTTAAGCACCAATTTCTTCACCTAAAAGATAGATAGGGCTGACAGTAGCAGAACATGCAAAATGCTAAGACATAGGTGATGTTATAATAAGCTTTTCTTTGTGTCTCATTTCTTAAACTAAAAATAGTTTACCCCTGAATATAGCAAAAGTCCCAGGTATGGTGAGAAATAAGTGGCATGTGTATATACACACATATCATGCTCCACAAAATGTTAGTTGCCTTACCTGATTGAAATAATGAGATACTCAAATGTTCTTGTTAGGAGTTAAATAATGCCCGAGTCACCTAATTTTCAGATCATCACCATGGCATTTCTTAACTTTAAATCATTTCTCTAATTCTAAAAATTATTGGGGTGGGAGTGGGGCAAATTGTGGGCCAAACCAAGACAGCAGGTCACATTACGTAGCTTATTGCAAGGCAGTGTTTGTGGTAGGTAGGGCAGAGTGACGACTTGACTGGTACTGTTGGCAAAAGGAGCCAACAGTACAAATAGCAAAACAAAATGTTGCTATTGCCAAATTCTGAATTTGTATTTTCCTTACAGTTATGACACAGTAGCTGCTTGGGCAACAAACCTCAAGACTTCCTTCAGAAAGGCGAATAAGGCACTCTGGCTTTCTGCTGCGTTCATTGTGCTGTTTGCAGCTTTGATGAGCTTCCTCACAGGACGATTCTTCCAGAAGTCTGTGGATGCTGCTCCCATACCAGATGGGGACTCCTGGATGTCTCTAGAGCAAATTTTGTGGCCATTCACCAGACTCCAACACAATGGACCACCACCCATGTGACTTAGCACATCTTAATGTATGTGTCTTGATTTTTAAAGTTTTAGTATCTGAAATTAGGGAAATTAGAGAGTTGAACCACAGGGTCTCAGAAGGACTGCAAGATATTTTACATCCCTTCTTTCTGTGAGTTCCTCTCTGATTAAAATACAATGGGGAAGAAGCCTGCCTATGATTTTTAGTGAGCTTTTTGAGGAGGAGATATTACATATTGCTTGTTAAAATTTATTCAAATAGAGTAACAAGTGAAAGTTTCAGTGGGCCAAATATTCATAAGAAAAAAACCCCACTTTTTAAAAAATAAAATTTGAGTACAAAATGCTTATTAGATTTTAATAACCTTTTGAACTACAGTCACTCATTACATTGCTTTCGAAGAAATGCCTGATTTTGCTCTGGGTTGCTTGACTTCATACTGCATAAAATCTGTCAGCGGGGATTAGGAATAGCTGAGCACTCTGGTCGAGAGCAGCATATAGCACACAGAGTCAATCAGCTGGCAGCTGGAGCTCCTAATTTTTTCCATGGCTTTTGGGGAAGCAAAATCCTTAACCATGTGATATAAAGTAGAATGAAACTCAGTTTCTTCTTTAAGGGCTTCAGAGAATGTCTCACTGTTTTCGTTGATCTTGAGCCTTTGTGCTCTGTCACCACTAAACATTAAAAGGGTCCAATTAGGTTTCTGAATAGGTTTTTCATTAAGGTGTTCCTTCAGCTACAGGAAAAGAAAATTAGAGAAATCCATTAATAGTTCCTCTAATAGGTATTTTGGCAGAGTATAATTTGAACTCAGTCCCCAAAATTGCTAATGTAAAAGAAACACTCTTTAGCGTCTGATCTCTTAAACCATGTTTGTATGTATGTATTCATTCAACAGAGATTTCTTGAGTAGCTAGTATTTGCCAGGGAATGTTCTAGGTGCTGGGGATACAACAACAAAGAAGAAAAAAACATATTAATAACAATTGCAACAATAAAATCCTATCCTCAAGGAGCTTATATTCGAGTGGGAGAAACACACAATATACAAGTAAATATGATGGCTCACTTATGCTATCTTTTTTATCAGGCAGCAGTAAATGTGCCAGAAAGTTCAATTGGAGGCCTGTCTCTGAGGGGAAAAAAGCTTCCGTCTGTTCTCATTTTGATGTAAAGAGCTGTCAGGACACTACCCTGAAGTCCAGAGTGTTTGATACCATAATGGACAGTGAAGGTATAGCCTTTATATAGCTTGGTTTTATATTTTTGACAAAATAAACAAAAATGAAGTTTTAAAACTATTTGAATGTTAATTTTTTTTTTTAACCTTTTCAAGAGGAGAAACCATGGCCTACATTCATTTAGCTTTTGAGTATCTTCTTTGGAAGGACAAAGTAATTTTGAGTATCTTCTTTGGAAGGACAAAGTAATTTTATGGGGTTTGTATACTATACCTTAATTATAACTTTATTTGAACTACATACTATATTCCACTTGCTCCAACCAAATGCAAAAGCGGAACTTAGCAGGGCCAGCTGTCGATAAGCTTTCATTTCTATCAAAGGATCCTGTCAATATAAAAACACAGTTGATCATAAAGCCTTTCAAAAAGTCTTCCATCTTTGGCCTCCTACAGTCACTTCTTAACACAGAAAAAAATCATCTATAAGTCAGATGACATGATGACTCTGACAGGACAGGGCAATGGAGCTGCCTTTCAGAAGAGAAGCCAGAGTCCTAACAATGACCTACAAAGGGCCTCTATGATCAGACATACCCCTGCCCCACATATACCCCATTATCACCTTCTTTGTTTCTCCTTTTGCTCTCTGAGCTCCACTTGGCTAAATTCCCCACCTTCAAGTTTGGTCCAGATCCTACCTTCTTGGTGAAGGCCCCCTCTTCCAATACTATTTGATATTGTATGTTGCCCTATGATTCCTGATCTTCCTTTTTTTAATATATATAAAATATAAGATAATCTAGTATATTTTTGCCTTCCTCTGCTAGAATGTAAGCTCCACAAGGGCAGGAACCTTGTTTTATTCACTAATGGATCTTAAGCATCTAAAACAATGTTCAGAAAAAAAATTCTTGAATATTCTGAGATGACTAGTACACTACATGCAGCATTTGTAGAGTAACTGGCAGTTGAGTTACTAAAACTAAGGTGGTTTTTTCCCCCTACACATATGTACACAGTTAATGATGTTATTTTCAGATATACCCATACTGTCATTTTCTGGCATATTTTAACCTGTTTTGTGCAGAAGAGTTCTATAGCCAAGAACACCTTTCATGATTGGAGCCTACTTTGGCCTCATTGATATATCATAAATATTTACTAAACATCTGATTCAAGGAGTATGCTAGATACTAGAATCATAGGTGATGAAAGAACAGTCCTCATCCTCATGGAACACACAGTTTAACATGGAAGGATCTTATTTAACTAAAGCCTTATGAGTAACATGAAGCAGTATGCAGACAGGGAGCCTCTCCCAAGAAACGGAAGGAAGTGGGTTCTCTCTATCAGTGGTCTTTTTATGTGTTTAATTTCACCAAATTTGTTATGTTTGGGAAACTTCTGAGTCATTTAATCTTTTAGGAAATCTTACATCTATCCAGCCTGGAAGAAGAAAGAAAATACAGAAAATTTGAAGTTGCTCTAACTACCTTTGCACTAACTGACCAGCTGTGTGAATAATGGCCCATTTGTCAATATGAAGATCATACTAGAGGCTTACTTTCTTGGGAAAGATTATTAAACTTGAGAGAACTCTGGATTTCTGGTCCTGCCATTTATTCCTTCCAATCAATTTTGTGTAAGTGAATATAGAAAACCTAAACCATACCTGAAGAGTTATATAACATTGAATACTGGCTACCATTCTAAATGTCCTTTACATTAAATTTGGAAGATTTGTTCTTACCTTATAATTTATAACAACATAAAAATGAGAGTGTTCACTAGGGAAGATATTCAATCCAGCTTCTTTCAAAGCACAAATGAAAGAAATAGGAGTCATCCATTTTCCTTCCAAAATAGAGAACTGCTTTTTGTTACTTAGTGTGATTGATGCTAACAGGCAGAGGTTTTCCTAGTTTCAAGAAGAAAGATAAATTATTACATCATGATTCCATTTCCAGCCTTTAGCTTCTTCATACTAGTTTTTTGTTTTGTTTTGTTTTAGCTCTATATCATTCTGTATAAAAAAGTATGCAGGACAGATATGCTTTAGGCCAGCTCGGAGAAGTCAGCCACAAAGTCCGTTATCTCAACCAGTCCATCGGTCAACTTTTTGGGGGCTTTATCTGAACAGTCAAGAGACTGGAAGATCTCTCAGTTCTCCTCCCATTGTAGGAGTTATGATCTAAGAACACTGGTCACATTGAATTACAGTAGCTATTTGATAGCTCGTCATGTTGCAACTTTTAAGGATAGTTTTTTTACACATAAGATTTAAGGTAATAATGCAAAGTTACCCAGTTTTAAAGTTTGCAGAGTGGCAATTTGAAGGTATACAGAGATCACATCCCTCTTCTGGTTTTAGAAATCCAATGTGCTATCCACTGTGTGACAGAACCACCCTCCTCTTCTGGTTTTAAAGAGGAAGCCTCTTTAGAGTGGATCAAAAACTGCAACAGGCTTGAAGCTTCACTAAGTGGCCTATTTCTATGAAAGGGTGCAAGTTTGGACCCTGCTTATTGTATGTTATTACCTATCCAATCACTATTTCATTTAGAAATTATGGCTCAAAGTATATTTTAAATACACTTGCAACATTTCAATATGTCAATCACCAGTGACTGATTACTTTGACATACTTTGACTGTCATCAAGCGGTTTATCTCTTTCATATGACTTACTCTCTGTGACGTACCTTAATTTGTATTTGAATTGTAGTAAATACTGTAGTCACAGTCAAAAGTACTTTATCCACATCGAGTGGTGTTAGTTCCCATGACTGGAATGGCATGTTAATATGAGCATCCTGAATCAAGGTAACAGGGCCAAGCGTTTCTAGGCTGAATGTTATAAGTCTGTCTTCTGGTTTATAAGAGACATTGCTGATGCCATCAGTTTGCCAATGTTTACCTTCATAATAAGGAAGAAAGTAACAGTTTCATTTTTTCTATACAAAAAAATGAGATGAATGACCCAAATAACTGCAAAGGTGTATAAATTGATCTTTTACATTCAGCAGAGAATCTCTACAAAAAGCCACTTTTGCTGGGAGGTTCATCCTGGCTACAGGATCAAATCCAAACTCCTCAGCATGGTATCTAAGGCCTTCAGAATGAAGACTCATGTTTCTGGCTTCACCCCTTGCACTTCTGACACCTGGTTTTAGCTATGCTTTCCCTCTCCCCCAACAGCATCATCCACTGAGCCTCTGCACACGCAGTCCTTTCTTCCTAGAGTAATCAATCCTTTAGAGAATCTCTCATCTTGTTCAAAAAAAAAAAAAAAAAAAAAAACCAAAAACTTTAAAATTCACCTGTGTTAAGTATATATTTTAGTAAATTCCCCCAGTTGTGCAACCATTACCACAATCCAATTTAGAACATTATTATTCTCTCCATAAGCTCCCTCACATCCATTTTATAGTTAATTACTCCCATTCTCACCTCTAGCCACAGGCAGCCATTAATAATATACTTCCTGTCTCTAAAGATCTGTCTTTTCTGGACTTTTCATATAAATACAATCATATGTAGGTGGTCTTTTGTGTCTCTTACAACTTAATAATAAAACACAACCGAATTTGAAAATGGGCAGAAGATCTGGATGAACATTTCACTGAAGAAAATCCAGTAAAGGATAATAAACACATACAAAAAGATGTTCCACATGATGTTATTAGGGAAGTACAATATAAACCCTGAAATACCACTTCATACTCACTAGAAAGGCTAGAATAAAAAAGATCACAAATGTTGGCAAGGATGTGAAAGTGGGAAACCTATAATACTGGCAGGCATGTAAAAAGTACAGTTACTTTGAAAAACAACCGGACAGCTTCTTAAAAAGTTAAACATAAATTTACCATTCAATCCAGCAGTTCCACTCCTAGGTATATACGCAAGAAAAAGGAGAATGTACGGCCGCACAAACACTTGCATGCCAGTGTTCTTAGTCTCTTAAGGCCCAGTTCAACATTCCATACCAAGACAAGCCTTGCTTAATGCTCCAGGTGGAACCCTTGGGCTGCTCCATAACACTTCTACCTATCACAGCACCTTATTGTGTCATATTAGGTGGCTTTTCCTTGTCTGCCTCCCCTACAACTTTGAAAACTCCTAGAGGAAGGAAATGTGTCCCATTTATTCTGTATTTCTTATTGTGTAGCATAATTATGGAATACACGAGTCATTCCCTTCCCTCGAATGCTTTATCCATATCCACATGGCTTTATCCTCATATGAGGGATCCACTCACTATTTTTAACTCTGAAATTCAATACAATTATATTGACAAAGTAAGAGATTCATAATTCCTCATTTTTACAGTAATAAAATTAAAATTTTTTTTAAGATTTTATTTATTTGACAGTGAGAGATCACAAGTAGAGAGGCAGGCAGAGAGAGAGGGGGAAGCAGGCTCCCTGCTGAGCAGAGAGAACCCGATGCGAGGCTCGATCCCAGGACCCTGAGACCATGACCTGAGCCGAAGGCAGAGGCTTTAACCCACTGAGCCACCCAAGTGCCCCATAAATTTTTTTTTATTTAATTAATTTAATTTATTTTAATTTATTTAATTTTTTAAAGGTAAAAATTAAGTATCACCTATAAACAAATTCTCCAATTTTTAGTATTTCCTGGAAAAAAGTTTCCCCATGGGAACAATTAGTGGAGTTGTATACTACTGCTGTAGTCAGAGACAAATTTTATACATTATATTTCCCTGAATCATGTGGGATAACTTGTCTAATTCTTAGTGTGACTAATTTTTAACAGAGTAAATACTTAAAAACATTACCATTAAAGGAAAAATGAAACTTCTAAAGCAACATGAAGGGAAGAAATTACCTAGTTGTTCATTTTGACAGATTTTGTAATTTAACGTATTAATGGAACTATACTGTTATTAATTCATAATTTTTATCTAGAATATAAATATCTTTTTTTAAAAAGATTTTATTTATTTATTTGATAGAGATCACAAGTAGGCAGAGGCAGGCAGAGAGAGAAGGGAGGAAGCTGGCTCCCTGCTGAGCAGAGAGCCCGATGTGGAGCTCGATCCTAGGACCCTGAGATCATGACCTGAGCTGAAGGCAGAGGCTTAACCCACTGAGCC